CTTATTTTTTTATTCTTTCTAGAAATAATAAGTAACTGGCTATATTAAAAATTATTTTATAAATAAAAACTAAAATTTTAAGGCTACTAGGATATAAAAGGCTATCTTTCAATTAAGAAACTAAAATATATATAAGTAATAGTATACTATTCTACTAAGTAAGTATTTTTATATATACTAAGACCTATTATTTATATAAAAATAGGCCTAAATAGGCTACTAGTAGGCTTATAGGCTTAGCCCACTAGGCTATAGGCTAGGCTGGGCCTAGGGGAGCTGGGCCTATAGCCTATATAGGTTAGGCCATGGGCCGAAATCTTAGGCCTATGCTGGGCTTTGCCGATGTCTACTTACTACCTAGAAAGGTATGATCGTCGAGGATCGTGGGATCGATTGTTTCAGTGTTTAGAAGCTCTCTAGTCTAGAATCGATAGCTTAAGAGTGGTACTGACTATTAATAACGGCAGGCTCTAAGTCGCACGATCCTAAACCAGGGGATCGATACTTAGCATCTAAATGTTATCGGGCATTATTATAGAATTAATGTATTCGATACCTGGTATGTCTTACAATTGCAAAATGTCTTGAGAGTCGAAAGTCTTAGTTTAGAGGAACGGCGTATGCCCTGGGAATAAAAGACTCGGACGCCAGTACTGGCTAGGTAGAAACGGATGGGCTGGCGTAGGTCTATCCGAAGATAACTGTGAATAGATATAGGCGTAGGAACCGGGTGCCTGGAACAGTTTGAAACGTTTTTTTTTTTTCTTTTTAGCAGGCGGACGATAATAGATGATATCGTTCAATTGATCGGTTCCATACTGCAAGAAAGATTTAAACGCAATGTATTAGAATAGAAGAGAAGGAACTATAAATAGGTAGTTAGCCTCTTCCATAGTCTGAGGAGTTCTAACGACCTTTTATACCTGCCTACCGCCCCCTGCCTCTTCTAGGCGTTTTGAGTAGGTCGGATTTACAAGATTCACGAGACAAAGCGTACCCTACCGATACAGAGATCTACCAACCTATCCGGAAATCACTAAGTCACGCGTAAGGCCGACATATATACGGCATTTCTCCTATTAGATCAAAGTGTTTCATTCGAAAGAGTCTACGGTCTATCTTACTACGCCTTACCAGAAGAGGGCTATAGCGAAGGGGTTATCTCTAAAGGGCTACTAGTATAAGGATCAGCGTCCAGTCGGGTGAGGTATTATACGTAACTCCGGGGCTAAAAAAAATATAAGGGAAAACTTATACTTGACATATATTGTGAAGAGACGACTAAAGACTCTTTAGGATATGGTGACTACAGGCACTCATAAAATAAAGATACTGGTAGAGAATAAGGAATAGGCGAAGAGGAGAATTTAAAGGCGATTTAAATTCTAGTTTTACTATATTATTGGAACTGTAGTCTCTTTTATAGATAACGATAGAGGCCGGAGGATAGAATTCTTCTTCTACTAAGAGTAGATAATCTCAACCAGATCCTACAATCTAACCTATTATAGTCGAGGACGCTAGACCATCCTAGTCACACAGTCTATAACAAGTTATAGTTCACTGGCAAAAATTCCCGCAGTTACAGTCTCGTATTAACTACAAGATATAGCATCGACCAAGGTCCAGGGCGTATACAGTATTTTCGCTATTAGCCTATATGACCGAGCTGTGATTTCGAGTTTTCACCGATTAGGTAGAAAGGGACCGGAGAGACCGACAATAACGATAACCGGGCGTTTAGCCAGATAACTAGGAGCTATTCTATAAAGCCGGGGCTATATAACGTAACCTTAGGTAGGGCGGTAGGAGAGGGATATATAGCGTCGAGGGTATACTAGCACTTTACAGATTTAAAGGGAGGCCCGCCGAGTCAGAGACAGAAAGGCACACTAGCAGAGGGAGACCTAGATATCTTTATAGCATGGTGCTCAGTCACTGCCCTAGGGAAGGAGTAGGATCATCGACACAAAAGGACAGGATGCTGTATCATCCCAGTGGTTACGATTCTAGGTGATAGGCATTATAAGCTGGATATCGGATCAAGCGGCATCTCCGGTAAAAATGAAAGGGGCAGTACATCGGGCTGAAAGCAAATGTGCAGTACTCGGTGGGGGCCAGAGTAAAAGAAAGGGGGCGGCGATGAGTGCAAAATAGAGAGGCAGAAAAATGAAAAAGTGGGAGAAAGGGAGGAAGAGCAGCGAAGACTGGTCTTTTATGCCGGAGGGCATTGAAGAGAGGTTACGTGACGGCGTATTAGGGCGCTAAACCAAGAAGGGCAAAACTAACCGGATACAGTAATTCACAGGTCCCAATATTACAATGTAAATTTCATTAAAGATCACCGCCCAAGGCCCTAGTATACCGTAAGGCAGATGTCGTTACCGGACTATTCCTTATATTACGAGAAACGCCATTTATTAGTATCTATCCGAGATATTTAGATAATATTTGATCAATATCGAACCATCTACGAGATTTGATTCAGTTCTTCAATGTCGGGGTCCCATCAACTACTACAGTGTCCGTTTCCTCGTCACTACTTTCCTGGGGTGACACCAAGGCTTGTTTCCTTTGCTCCCTATAATAATATGTCAGTTTAATATTCACCAATATTTCAGGACGGGATTTTACCTTCGCCATATGTAAACAGAAGTTACGAAACCAGCCCACAGCAGGAAGAAAAAGACAAATGATACTGGCCATCCCTTTCGCCATCTAGGCGCACCGTCGGGGCCGGCGGTTGGGTATGCCAGCAAAGGAACCCAGATATTGAATGAATAGCCAAATGTCATCATGGAGCCCTGTAATGCAAGAAAGATGCTGGTCAGTATGATTTCTTTTGTCCGCTGGATAAAGGAATTGCCGTACCATTATGAGAGCACGCTCCTCCGCATCATCCCTCACTATCACATTGATGGTGGAATATAGAATTGGACTCAAGCATCCAGCCGCTCCGAAGACATACCAGGCAACGAATCTTTGAAGAAGCTTGTTAGTACCACGGACTCAATCTGAGGACTAGTTAAGGAGTTATCTTACTTCAGGCCTGTAGGGATGTTCCAAACTATCATGCATAATGTTGAGAATAGACAGCATGCCGATGCAATGGTGTAAATGATCCATTCCGGATAAATCGCAGCTAATGTTGTCCCTAGCCATGAGGCCACGATGTTAATCGCGTAAGTAACAGTCGGCAGCTGGTTGATTTGAGTCACTGAGTATCCCTCTTGTTTGAGCCATAGGCTCATATAGCTGCTTGGATAGGAGCAGATGATCATGCATCTAAAACCAACGTTAGTAAATTGACTACAGCAGTGAATCCTTTCCAAACTTACGCGTAGCAAGTGATAAAGACCCAAATGTGCCATCTCTTAAAGGTTCTCTTAAAGACGTCGAGACTCATTTTGCCAGGCTGGCGAATCTTGGCTCTCTTAGTTCTCTCCTTGGCCAATTCAATATCACGGTCCGTCAGATAGAATGGCTTAGGCGAGCCCGGAATACCGGGAAAGATGAGGAATCCGAGCAAGGCCACGGGGATGGTAAATATGCCGTCGATTACGAACAGCCACCTCCACCCTGGCATACCCCCAACACCAGAAAGGTTGGTATAAGCCGCTGCCTGAAGGTATCCACTAACCATAGTACCGAGCGGGTTGCAGATGAACCATGTTCCGGCTCGTTTGAACAGTTCGGGACCTGTGTACCATGAACCTTTTTTATGGTTAGTATACCAGATGACTACATATATTGGTTGAACTTACCGAGAATGAAATGCGTTCCAGCAAAGACAGGTGCTTCTAGCATTCCAACCAAGAAACGAAGGGCATAGAGCTGGTGTACGTTCGTGACACGGCTTTGGGCAAATGTGCAAATACCCCAGAGAACTTCGAGTGTAGGTAACAACCAGCGAGCCCTATAGAATGAGTCAGTCGCTTGGTATGGGTGAGAAAGAGATCAATTCCTGATACTCACAACTTTGGGCGTGACATGAGCAGTAGTCCAGGAATCTGGAATAGCACATATGAACAAAAGTAGCAGACATTGAAGTAGTTGAGCTCATTGCCGTACAGACCGAAGTCCTCTTTCAAACCACTAACATATGCATTGCTAATGTTTGTCTGGTCTGCGATATATTGGCATCGAGTCAAAGGGCATTGAATGTGGAAATAGGCTTACCCAGATATTTGACAAAGACTGAGTTCGTTAGTGGCGTCTCTCGGGTGCATCATTTGGACTTGTGTACTTACAGCAGAGACAAGCAAATATCAGAATGGACAAGTCCAACTTGAATAATAATCTGGCAACGTCAGTATAGATCGACAGAGATACTCTCCCAAACCTTGATCTGCTTACTTTCTCTCCTCGGCAGGATATGAAGATGGGTACCAATTAAATACTTCCTTGAAAAGTCCCAGAGGGGACAATCTCCCGGCCTTGGGTTTCAGGTCAGACATGGAAGGCTCGGCAGACGTCCGATGCTGTTCCTAAAGGTGCAAAAGACAAAGCACATTAAATTATAGACCACCGCCATTACTTATAGGATCTCTTGATATAGCATCTCGGCATATAAAAACCAGCTAGCCGTAGAGATGTTAACCAATTTCCCCACTCGCTGTCACCATCGCTCGTTCAGGAATTTTTAATAGTCAAAACAGACCATCCACGAGGCTAAAGGACGTCTGGAACCGAAGCTAACACATTTGCCGTTCACTTTGATGCGCCGGCGGAGACGACATGTTTCTGCATGATGGCGTGCGCGAATCCCGGTCTACCACACGAAATCCGGAAATTGGCCGTTATCTCAGGCCTCATCGGACGAATTTATTGCGTGCTCTTATAAAATCCCTCCGCTATCTGATGCGGGGGTATATCGTCGGAATGATGTGCGAATAGACTTATATACGACGTGTGTTTCCTAAGGTGTTGATGTGGAAACGAGCTACTTGAAGTAGCTGCATATACTTGTTCGCCTCTTGGAAACTCATAGCCTGCCCAAAATGCCGGGCAAATACATTGAAAAATATGATCAGGTCCCTGTGACCAAGGAAGACCGTGGGTAATGCTGATTTCTTGGTGTTTTCGTCTTGCTGACTGCTCCGGGATTAGTTGACTGGGCTGAGCTTATCACACTGGACCTTACCCAGTATGACCAACCTGGAGGAAAGGAAGATCTTGTCAAGCAGCTCGATCACGCTGTTAGAAATGTTGGTGAGTCGACGCTTCTTTGTGCTCCGTGCTGAGGCCGGGGATATGAATTCGAGTAGGCTCGATCCTTGGCTTAGTGCTAATCAGACTTGAAACAGGATTCTTTTACGTTAAGAACTTTAACATTAGCCAAGAAGAGATCGACAACCAGTTCGCTCTAGGGCGGGAGTTCTATGCCCTGCCACTTGAAGAGAAACTCAAGTTCCACAGCGCCAGTGATCTTGAAAGAGGTGAATATAACTCTTACCGTCCTGCAGGGCACCGAATGTAAGAAACAGATCGCCCTCAGAGACATATTGGAGAAACGCTAACACGTAACTCAGCTTAGGAAATGGCATCAAGGATAATGTCCAGGTATACAATATTCCAAAGTTCGACGGTTACCACGAGCGTCCCCAGCCCTCTGTCATTGCCGAAAACATTAAGGAGATTGAAACTTTCAGTCGGGTAATTTTCCTTTTATCATCGTCGTCTATTCCTTTAACTGACCCGAACTAAAGAAATGCCACACCGAAGTTGTTGAGAAGCTTCTCCGCCTCTTCGCAATCCTGCTCGAGCTGCCAGACGAAGACCAACTAGTCCGCGACCACCAATACGACCTCAAGGGCGAGGATCATCTGCGCTATATGCATTATGCAGCCCGCAGCGCTGAGGATAACAAGAAGGTCGGTGAGCTCTACAGTCCCGGCCACACAGACTTGGGAACAGTTACTCTTCTGTTCCGACAACCGGTAGCTGCACTTCAGATCCTGAACTCAGAGGGTCAATGGAAGTGGGTCAAGCCCCAGGACGGGACCATTACTATCAACACATGCGACGCCCTCACCGCGCTCACGGGTGGCTTGATTAAGTCGAGTATTCACCGGGTCCACGCACCCCCTGCTGACCAGGCTCATATTGATCGATTGGGTGTGTTGTATTTTGCTCGGTAAGTTCCTTCGGCTATGCGGCACCGGAGTCTTCAGGGTCTAATGAATATAGCCCCAACAACCACGTTATCCTTGACCCAATTCAGAACAGCCCCCTCCTCCAGAGACTTGGCTTGACTACCAACGCGTTCACCGAACTTGGACAGCACCTGACGACTGAGCAGTGGGTTAAAGTTCGACAGACACAGCAGCAGCGAAAGAATCGGGATGTCAAGATTTCTAGTGAGGGGAAATACACCTATAAGCCGAAGGATCTCGAGATCATTCCTGGCCTCCAGGCGGCGATCTACAACTAATCGGGTCGGTATATGATGTGCATTTTGCATTAAATGATTGAATTTCCCGGTATGAAAATAGCAAAGAGCAACTGTAGTTCAAATTCAAGTGATAAAGAACCTCGGTCCGACTTGGAAGTGAATGAATAGTGTAGTATCCAAAAATAGAGCAGAGTACGCCGAATCTCCTTTGCCGATGAACGCATCTGCAGGTGGATTCCAGTGACGTCATTTCTAGGAACGATCAGCAACATCTTTCGGGGGGAAAAGTCCAGCGAAACAATGTCAATCACTCATTCACTCAATTACCCAAAAGAGATTCCTGCTGCAGAATCCTGGTCAATAGCCCTACTCGCTATTGTTGTACCCTGCCCACTCCGATACTAGACCCGAACAGATCCCGATATCAGCCCTACGTCAGACTCAGCCCTACGCCTTACCATTACCATTTTTGCTTCTAATTCCACTTCGTTATTCTCCGCGCCCATGTCATTCCCAGAATCCGAAAAATACTCCCAATCCAAGGGAGCAAACTGCTTCACCATGAGTCCAAACCCCTCCAGCGACTCATTGTACCTGGATTCCAATGTTGCACTCGGACAACGGAGGCAATCCGAGGTCGAGATGGAGGCAAATGACGCCGCTTTCCATAAAGCCGAAGGACAGGAAGGACAGGAAGGTGTTCTTACGGGCATGAAACATCAACTCGACTCGATGGCTCCTGGTGGCTCCATGTCGGAGTTTGGAAATTCCGTTAGCTCTGCCGCCCAAGAGAAGATGATCGCCGCGAAGGATACTTTAATGGACGAAGCGTATCCTGCTGCGCAGGGAGCCTTACGTACCGTTCAAGGTCACATTCGCGCCATTTCAGGTGGATCAAATGAAGCTCAGGAGATGGTACCTCCAGGTATGTTCATGCATGAGTTTCCTGGCAGCACGTATGACTTGATTGCTGATGACAGTGTTATATTTTAGAACCTTCCCAGGAGGAACGCGAATGCGTTGATAAAATGAGCAACGAACAGGTTTGCGATTTCCTACGAGAGAGACATATGAGCAATAAGCACACACAGCCAACAAAGTAGATAGATCATACATTTTTGGCGTTTTGGGATTTTATTCTCCATTGACTGGGGATCTGAATAATTCGTGTCTTTTGCCGCTTGTTGAATATTCCGAATGTCACCGATCGCATCTCCTCTCTAGGGGGGCAGGATTCTCGCTGATTACTTCACATGTATAATAAGGATGTCGCAGAGACTGAGACTATTTGAGTGGCAATGCTGAGACTCGATCCAAATTGATACTGCTCAGGCTATAGACAGCTGCTCTAAATCCTCTGTCGAGTGCGCACATCCAAACCCAGGAAGTCAACCAGAAACACTCGATCTCACCCTGAGGACGCGTACACTCGAACCACGGCAACCTGAAAGTCCCCGGGTCAAAGGATTATTGGTATTTGCGGTAAGAAGGGCTTTGACGTCCGGGTTGTTCATCTACGGGCCGAATAATTGCTGCGGTCGCGTTTCCACGAGGTTAAGTAGTTCCACTGCTAAGTAATATGGTAATGGATTCACAGCAGACAATATCCTATTCACAATTCGCAAAGGCGGGTGAATTCTAGAGTCATGTAGATAAAAACTATTGTCATGAAATGCAATGTATGCGAAGGGGCAATGTCGAGGCATAGTGGAACCTCGGTGGAATTTAAGGTATGCAGCTAACCAAATACGACTGGAGGTACCAAGGGACTGGGACTATAAAATAACCTTGAGATTTAAGGATATATGACATGATCCTGAATCTCTTTGTCCTTAGGCAAACTCGGAATTTGAATGTCTATTTGGTTCGCATTCTTTCTTTATTGTCGGTTTCTGGCTATGCTACTTAAGTAGGTAGAAAGTACATGAATATATCAGACCGGCTAGGATTCAACAATCCATGAACCCAAGCAGCGATCGTTAAATAGGTTAATAAAAGAATTCCTCCAGTGGACCCTCTGTCAATTGCATCAAAATGCGTTCACAATGAAGTAAATGTCAATGTTTGGGTCAAGTGTGCCACCGCCGCCACTTTGTATAAAAGAGGACCATCACCGTTCGACTTCACAATAATCAACTTGAGCCCTCTTCTTCTCAAACTCTATCATACACAATGCGCCCCCGATCCGGAAGTATGAATCGGTCCAGCGATGCCGAATCCGATCAAGAACACAACCAAGAGTCCGTCAATCACACAGACCACTCGGTGGTTACCAACCGTGGTGCACCAGCACGTCACTCTCGCCGTGAGCGATCTGAGTATCGATCGTGGGATAGGGCTAGCGATAGACCGACCACGGGAACAACGGGTTCGAAGAATAGATCCGTCTCGAGACATTGATACTTCGTGCGATATCGTGGTTTATGGGCTGGATTTGGGTAACTGCTATTTCTCGGATAGTCTGTGCACAGTCATGCTCATCTAGGTCTGAATTACTGTACAGCCTATTTGGTCATACCTTGCGATGTAACTATATAAAATATACCTACTCTGGAAGGTTTCTTGTCAACTACTCAATCTCAACTCTCGCATTTCGAGGTATATCCTATGAACAACTACGAGCTTCCAAGATACTGGTAGAGATGTTATTTGACTTTATTCTTATTAAAAGGAAGATACGCTTTATATTTCTTCAACAATCCCAAGGAGGTAATTAGGGCTCCTAAACTAGGGCTAGTGCCCCTCCATCGGCGATAGCCTCCCGCCGCCAACATCAGAAAGCAACAACCACAGACTCAACAAAAGTCGCCAAGCAACCCCAAAATGGCGCCAATCCCCATAACCATCGTGACGGGCTTCCTCGGCTCAGGCAAAACAACCATCCTCCTCAACCTAATCCCGCAACTTCCAAAGACCTACAAGCTGGCCCTCCTCAAAAACGAATTCGGCGACGTAGCCGTGGACTCCCAACTGGCCTCAACGCAATCCATCAGCGGCGTGCGCGAAATGCTCAATGGCTGTATATGCTGCAACCTCGTTGGCCAAGTCAGCGACGCACTGGACCAGCTCCGCGCCGAAGTGAAACCCGACCGCATCGTGATCGAGACCAGCGGCAGCGCGTTCCCCGCAACGCTTGCGATGGAGGTGAACAGGCTTGCGCGCGAGCATGGTGGACATTACGTTCTCGATGGTGTGATTAGTGTTATAGATGTCGAGAACTGGGAGGGATATGAGGATACCTCGTACACGGCAAAGATCCAGGCCAAGTATACCGATTTGATTGTTTTTAATAAGTGGGAGGATATGCCTGAGCGGTTTGATGTTTGTCTGGACCGAGTTGGTGATTTGGAGATTGAGACACCTTGGGTTAAGTCGGATAAGGGTCGGGTTGATATGGAAGTGATGCTGGGTATTGATGGGGCTTTGTTTAAGGAGGAAGAGGCTGGCAATGGACATGAGAGTAAGCATCAACATGATCATCAGTCCGAGGTGGAGGTTCTGTCTGTGGTTTTGAAGTCCGATGTCCAGGGGAAGACGGTGGATGTTGCTGCTCTCGAGCGGTTTCTCTCTTTGACGCCTCGCGAGGAGGTGTATCGCATCAAGGGGATTGTTCGCTGCTCGAACCAGGATCTTCCGGTGGAGACATCGGATGATTTGAATGCGAGACAGACGCTCGAGTCGCCTGGCATGCAGTATTATATTCTCAATTGGGCGTTTGGACGTTGGACCTGCACTCCTTCCGCTGTGGTTGCCGAGTTTGCAGACCCGGCTGTCATTGCCCGCATTACATTGATTCTTGCTCGATACGAGTCGGCTAAGTGGAAGAAGAAGCTCGAAGCTGGTGGGCTGATTCAGGCAGGCGAGGAAGAGAGTGTGGAGTTGAGTGTGGAGCGTTTGGTCTAGATTTTTGATGAGGCCAGCTCTTGTTCATAGATGCCGTGATGTTGGTACGGACTAGTTTCTCATGATACCTTGTAGATGTGATGATAGAGAACATGATACACCTGTAAATAAATATCAAGACTTTTCATATCTTATGTTCGAAAGCATTGACGATAACAATATAGCAAAACGTCCAGCAGAAAAGATACCAAAAGATACCTAGTCAATGGACGTTGATGCAAACACGACAAGCTCTATTCTAATTTAGAATCTAATGGCAAAAAATACGATCGTATATGCAGCGAGAACGCACGATAGATACTATATTAGACGGCCTCCTCCGGGTAGAGGTCAATAAACAAAAAGCGATTCCAACAAAAAGACAATTGTAAACGATTGTGAAGCAAAACAGTATTCAAACTAGTAGTTGAGCAAAGCGGAAGCACCAGGCTCACTAGAAATATAGATCACCTCGTGGTTGTCCGAGAAGCCGTTAAAACGGGTAGCGCTGCACTTGGTGTAGGCTCCCATCTCCTCAAAATAGAGCCAGTCGCCAGTGTCCAGCAGGCCAGGCAAGGCAATGCTTTCACTTATAACATCGATGCCATCGCAGGTAGGGCCCCAGATAGAATAAGTGATGTCCTCCGAAGTCGCAGAGTTCGGGGAAGCAGGCTGGGAGCCGTCCGAGGCACAGGTGAGAATCTGAGCGACGGGATGCTGGTGATCGAAGATGATGTTCGAAAAGTTGCCATAGACGCCGTCGTTCAGATACAACATGAAAGCATCGCGCGAGGGATCATCGGGATGCGGAATGTCACGCCGCGCAATGACATTGGCGGCCAGAGTGTAGGCAGTGGCTACGTAGTAGCGACCGGGCTCGGCAATCACACGGATGTTTGGCGGGAAATAAGTGTCCACGGCTTCGCCCAGAATGCCCGCGAACTTCTCAAATGTGTCCTGGCAGAAGCCGCCGCCAACATCCAGAGTGTGGAGCTCGTGGCCGATCTCTTCCGCATGATCAAAGACTGTGCGCGCATCCTGCACGGCCTCGAGGAAAGCCCGGGGATCCTCGGCGCCAGATCCGACGTGGAAACTGACACCGACGACCTTGAGGTCCAATTTATAAGCCAGTTCGAGCAACGGACGAGCCTGGTCCATGGAAGCACCGAACTTCATGCTCAGCCGGCACAGGCTGGTCGAGTCATCGGTCAAGATGCGGAGGTAGAGCTCCGCCTCAGGGAAGGTGGCCTTGATCTTGTACAACTCATCGGCATTGTCAAAGGTCATCTGCTTGACGCCGACCTCGGCAGCATAGCGCAGGTAAGACTTGGTCTTGCAAGGTTGCGCATAGATAATGCGGCTGGGATCAATGCCCGTCTGAAGGGCCATATCGATCTCAGACTTGGAGGCACAGTCGAAACCGTTTCCAAGCTGGGCCATGAGCCGGAGGACTTCTGGGTCCGGGTTACACTTGACAGCTGTTCAGTGTTCATTAGCAGGGGTCCATGGTGGGCTGTCGAATAAAGAGTGAGGCCTACCATAGAAGGGCTTGACACGGCCCAAATTCATCTTCCAGCGCATATGCTGGCGGTAGACTTCACCCATATCCGCAACGTAAAAAGGATCCTCCTCACCAGGACCACATTGGTCCAAATCCACCTCCGCCGCACGCTTCCTCAACACATCCAGAACAAGCTCCTTGGCAGTCAACGATGATTGCAACAAATTGTTGTCCCCGCCATGACTGCTGACAAGACCGAGATGGTCCAGACTATTGGTATAGTCTTTTCTGAAGGTGCATACTTCAGCAGTCGATACACACGCAGTCGGTGCCATAACCATGCCGCTGCGACTCAGCACAATTTGAATAGAAATAGAGAGATGATAGAAAGTTTTTAATCGGCAGGCGACTGCGCGTTAGGGAGGACGAAAAGTGTCACAACCGTAGTTGACTGGACCAAGCCTCCTAGACCCTTCCCCCTGAAGAGGAAGAACCTTGAAAGAAGTCCTATGCGGCAGCTCAGAGAACGGGGGGATAATCTCCGGGGACGTCAACGGGACGAAAATAGGCGAACCGGACGAGAGTTCAGAAAAGACCAGGAGGTGGAATGTTGTTAAGAGTGTCGCGGAGACGTTGGGTGGAGACAATTTGGCTAAGAACCAGAAGATAGGCTACTGGAGCCGTGGTGACCGAATCGCCTTTGGGGATTCCAAAGGCAGGGTCTGAAAAGAGGACCTAGAGGACCGAATAAATCTAAGGGCAGAGACGTGGTTAGCAAGCCTGATATAGTCCAGCTGCTATGAGAACTATAAGAGGGGGGGAGAGTATGAGTGAGAGGAAGGGGGGGGGGAAATCGAGGGTTTTTGATTTTGAGAAATTTTTCTTGGGGGGGCAGTGAGCGAGCTTAGGGCACACGAGGAAATAAAACGCGGCACGGAGTCACACACGGGGATCCCAATCAAGTTAACCTGAAAATAAAAAGACTCACCTTGTAAAATGAGGAGCTGTAGGACCCAAATAGAAAAAGGGAGAGTTGAAAGAAGCCCTGAAAAGATGACGAAGCCCTTCGTCTACCTCGAGGAAAAAAGAGCGGTGCTGACTCAGCCGGAAAAAGGGTTTCTTCAGCTCCCCAGGGCTTTTCCAGGGCTTTTCAGCTCCTCCGTCTTCACGAGCTTCCCCTCTATTACTCTTTCGGACAAGCCTGCGCGATTAATTTGGGCCTTGTTTAGGCATCCATTATTACCATCTCGCCGGCTCTGCGATAGGTCTTTCTCTTCCTAGGTGCGACTGCATGATGCAGGAGCTAAATCCCATGCTCTCGGAATTGCTGGATTCAATGGCAGCGGTGTGTGTGTGTATCTGTGATTTGCCCTCCGAGCAGACCTCGGGAGTAGATCCCAGGTACTTTCGTACATTCAGGTACATACGTGGCAGTACTGTTCGTACTGTCCTACCGGGATGTTTAAATTGTTAGTTATGCACCTACGGAGTACTCCGTACTCCATATAGAGCTATGTGATATACTTGCAGGTAGTTCTATGCACCATGCCGAGTTACAGTACATATGCCCAGAACTGCTTGAGGTCAAGCTCTTGGGTAATAGGCCTTGGGCGAGAACCCATAATGACGCACATTTGATCCCACTCGATTCCACTCAGCTGTCCACTTTGTGCACGGACCACAAGAATATCAACAGCTTATGTTATAGATAGGACTGGTCATTTAGAAAATGCAGCATACATATTTAGCCCAATGCTAGCACTAATAGTCTTGCTGTATTGATCCCGGCCACCTAGAGGCTTGATAGACTTTATCCAAACCCGAAATTGTACACCGCGAAGAGTTCCGAGGACTCAAGGCATCCAGTCAGCAAAACGTAGATCATCTTATTTAGCCTCCAGTTCTTCGGTGACTTCATTCTGGTATGAATATAGCTATATCCACCTTTGAATTCTGCTGGTTTGTAAGTGGTCCTCGGGACCATCGTTAAATTGGGGAACGATCCACCCTCTCTTACTAGATGATTCCTTTTATAGTCCGAGAAGCAAAACACCGAGATGCCAGAGAAGATACCTTAGCAATGTAAAAACCAAGGATAAACGAGGTATGCCGTGAGATGCCCGTCTATGTTATTCTTGTTACACTTGTATAAATTGTTTCGTAGCCTCGATGCTTAATCTCATCTCCACCTGATTAGTGTCAGTGCGATCCCAGCATGTATTCTGCGTTTGATAGTAGACATCTTCAATAGTCAGATGTAGATTGTACGCCATAGTGGTATAAATTACAGAACTATTTTCCGGGAAAAAAAACCGCATTGTCGTGATTGGAGCATCTACGAGATCCTTCATACAGGGCCGTTGTATCCTCTCGCTTCTTGTTACCTATGCTTCGACGTCGTCCTTTTATTGATTGGGGGTATATTTTCTTTCCACCCAGGGGGTCATTCTCATGCTAAATTAATCGACTGTAGCAGTAAAACTCAATTTCATCCACCTCATCGTGCTGCGAAGGGATTTCAACGCTGTCCTGCACCGCCGTAAATCTCGCCGAGCGCATCAAGTCGAAAAACACCGTTTCGCTGTCATGTCGTCTCTTCAGAGCCACCAAGACGATTGCCTCTGGGGAGGTCCGAACCAATCGGTCAAGCGTAGAGACTAGCGCGGGCAAGCTATCTGAATTGTAGGTACAATCAGAGACAAGAATGAGGTCAATAGGCCGTGGGCAGAGCTCATCCGGTGGGTCGTCCCAGTCGAGATTTTGATAGTGAAGACTGGACATGGTTGCGAGTTGGGCAACATTCATATTGCGTGTTATTATCTCCTCAACCTCAGGGAGATCTGTGAGTAATACCGAACAATTCGGGAGCATTGATGCCAATGCAATTCCCGCTATCCCACATCCTGCCCCAAGCTCAACTACCTGGATAGGTCGGTTGCAGACGGATAGGACCTGCTTCAAAGCTTGTATTTTAGGTTCAGGGCCTTTGTTCTTGTTACGGGCCGTCTTCCTTATATCCTCACACATCAGGTGAAGGTATGTAACTGTTGCTAGGCCCGCATCCCTAGGAATTTGTATTTAGAATCTCGAGGGAAAAAGCCAAAGGGAAGTAGCAGAGTGACTTACCATATGTGTCGAGCAATGCTATTTCCTGTCTCTTCCCATATTTCCATGGGGAATGGTTCACAGCCGCTGTATTGAAGGCGGCGTTGAACCAGCTTCTCTGCTGGTGTGGAATGAGGCCCAAATGGAGCACTTGTTGCAGCAACCACTAATTGTATGGGGGAATACTGGGGTATGACATATTCTGGTGAGTCCGGCATTTTAACCGTCAACACCATAGACTGCTGGGCCAGATTGGATGGGAGAGGACCCAGGGTAATAGCAAGTTCTCGATTACTGGCATTCCATTTTGTCGTTTTCTGAAATATAACTCGAGAGGAATTCTCAGCTATCACCATCAAATCAACATCTTCAGCAAGAAAAGAGTCCCCTAGATCAGTGGTGATGCAGATAAGAGCGGAGATGTAGATGGCCCCTTTCTGTTGTTGGATTCTGGGGGTTTTCAGGAATCTAACATAGTAGACCATCTTGGAGATATAGAATACAATGCTTTCCTCCCTCAATGCCTCTCCGTCCTAATCGTATCTTCATCAAACCCAAATTTCCGCCAAAATTATCCGCGCTGACTCAGCAAGGAATGACATCGTCGGGTTCATGCTGCGGCCTCACTTACCTCTGCTTACTCCCCGTACATTTTTCCAATGTCGCCGGCGACAGCTGGTGGAGCGAATCACACAAGATCCGTCATTAGTAGTCTCTATTCTTCACGTCGTTGCCCAATATGATGCGACCGCGCGATCCCCGCATCCGACAACGGATTAATCAGATCTCCCATAACCTTGAGACCGCCAACGAAACCGCGCAAGAGGGGCTTTATACTTTCTCCCACAACTACATATCCCCGTGTTTTGAATCCATTGGAAATTGCGTGACTGCATGTACAGCACCTTGCCTTCCGAGCCGTGAAGACCACCTAAGGCGGCGACGACGCGGCCAAACCGAAGCCAACTTTGACTTTTACGACGACTGGGCCAACGAAGAAGAAGATGATGGCTTAATTGGATGGGGTACTGGTGAACTCGACCGCCTCCTTGCTGGCAGCGGGCTGGCGCACGGAACTGCTGACCAGCCGCGCCGGCCTAGGAGGATGAGCTACGGGACACAAAACACTAGGCGAAGGAGCACCGCGCACATTCCGGACAATCGCGCTGACCCGACTGTGATTCCAAGCTCTTCATTCCTCGGCTTCCTCGAGCGCTTTCCGTGGAGATTCGGTGCGAGGGGAGTCAAGTATCGTCCTTCAGCTGCAGATCTGCAAGAACACCCCGGCGCCCGGCGCTATATGCACGAAGACGAGCCACTAATGGAGGCTATGGATGACGATGATGAGGAGGATCAATTGTCCCCCATCCATAATAGGAGGAATCGCAGTACCACGCAATCTTCTCGCGGAACGGACAACTCACTTAGTTCCCGCGGGGATCTATTCCCTAGTGACGAGGAGGAAGATGCAGTGCCCCTCGATGATGAGTTTGCGCTCGCTTTTGCGCGCCGGGGAACGGGCTTAGAATCAGATGATCAGTCCGGGGCGAAGTCTGAAATTGTACAGTCTGCATCCGCGTCTAGTCTAGGTGGTGCGTCCTCGAGAAAGACAAAGCGGAAGAAGAAACGGTCCCCAAAGCGGTCGACTAGTTACAATGATGCCGCGATTGCTCAAAGTGTTGGTACACCATCGATGGCAGACCTGAAGACAGAAGAGCAGCGCGCGGCATTGGAAGAAGAATCGGATATTGCGCGAAGACGACTCGCTGCACACGAGCTGGCTTTGAGTCGAGGCCTTGATCCGGGAGGCAGCGATAAAGTATGAGATTTTCATCTTCCGGTATAAATGAAGAAGAAATTAACCAGATTACATTTTAGCCTGCCGCAATATCCGCTAGTCCAAGTCTCCGACCACAAGAGCAACCTAATACCTCCAAAAAGACCTTCAGCGAGTCATCAAGCCGCCGGTTGTCCGACAACCAACTCGAGCCATTCCCACGCCTATCCATGTCGCCTTCATCTTTGGCCATGGATTCTCCGGGATTATCGAAATCCTCACCAAGGGCTATATCTCCACATGAGCTTGGTGGAAATACGACTTCTCTCGATTGATCGTGTTAACGAGTCTTCACACGCATTGCTGTAATTTGCTTTGGGTGATTATTGTGGACCTTTGCCATTGATCACCTAATTTGTATGATATTCTGAGCGATTTTGTTACTATACCCCTATGAATTCAAGAGTCTCGAGAGTGCCAGGAGTTCTCGAGCGTTTTAAATTGCAAATGATAAACCTGATTGATTTTGAGATTCCCCCTCTAGGCTCATAGATCTTCCTCAAATCTTGCCAATTTTCTCCTGCACAGTTCCCAACATCCAATTGCTTTTGTCGCTTCGCTATCGTCCTTGAATGTTGAATTCGGATCTTTAATTAGAGTCCTCTTCATGAGCTTCACCTTCCATTGAGATGAACTTCATTCTCGATTAGAACCAAACCGTGGGGCCGTCCCCACACCCCACGCGGGGCATCCTCAACAGAATTGCTCTTCCGGTCTATCCAGATACGAGACTGGAGTACATAGCCAAGCTCTGCGATATCCAAATCGCACAGGATTGCTCAATTGCACCACAGGCTTCGCACCACAGACGAACTTCGGCTCATCCAGGATGGCCAAAGCCGAGTCCGATCTCAGATCCATACTCGATGGCGGCTTTGATCCTCATAAGTTCGCCTGGTACGAGCCAGAACTGATTGAGGTTCCTGAGCCAGCAAAGTCTCTGCTCGAGAAGTACAGCAAAATCCCACCAGGACACGAGGTTGAACATGTGAAAAAAGTGGTGAGTCCTTTTCATTCCATGGCGAGAGTGCCCACGCTAATGACGAATGAATCAGAGAGATCGAGCATTCGCTGTGGTAAGTTAGATATTTCTTCCCGACAATATGTCCTACAAGCGTGGCCTGTGTGGTTTTCATCAGACGCAATTGTCTTCACGATTCCCTCGTTGGCCGAAGATACTGATAATTATCCCCAGTTTCCGTACCCATGTATTGGATCATTCCGGTTCCTAGACTTGAGCATCCCACAGTCACCGCTCTACCCTGAAATCCTGGATAGACTCAAGTCTGGCCAGAAGCTGCTCGATGTCGGATGTGCAGTCGGGCAAGAGCTGCGTCAACTGGTAAGACCCCAGACAGCTCATGCAGGGTCTAGAGCAATGAATGCAACTTAACGTACCAAATCAGGTCTTCGACGGGGTCGCTTCTGAAAATCTATATGCTTCAGACTTGCGCCAAGACTTCTACGACATTGGATATGAGCTTTTCAACGACCGCGATCACCTCAAAGCCCAGTTCATTGTAGCAGACATATTCGACGACAATTCCGACCTAGTCAAGCAACTGACCCACAAAATCGATATTGTGAACGCCGCTTCCTTCTTCCATCTTTTCAATTGGGACCAGCAGATTCTAGTCGCAAAGCGGCTCGTTGGGTTACTCCAGGATAAACCCGGCTCCCTTCTAATCGGGCGACAGATTGGTTTAGTGAACCCCCCACCTCCAGAAGATAAGGAGGCCTCTGGGGAGCACTATCGTCATGATCCTTCTACGTGGAAGAAGTTCTGGGAGCAGGTGGGTACTGAAACGGGGACGAGATGGGAGGTTGAGACTAGGATGGAGAAATGGGCTGGGGCAGATAAGATGATGAAAGACTACCATGAGGGGATGGACACTTTCAAGCTGAGATTTAGTGTTCGAAGGCTGTAGGAGTTCCTTCATCATTTGTGATTTGAATTGTATATAGCATGTTTCTAGATTACATCAATCAGTGCTTCTTCGTGCACCACTAGATCCTTTTCGGGGTTGATTATACTACACCGAGGATCGGCTGAACACCCGCACCTCGCCGCTGTGCAACCCTACTGTGTATCTGGTGCAAAGTGTTGGGATGCAGATGCTGAAATGGCAGAGTCGTACTGGAAAGGTTGGATCCCAGACTGTAATTGGTGCATTGTGGAAGCCTTTTGGATCTGCGGCAGCTGCGTTGATTCATCGAATAACCACGGTGGGTTTGCAAGAGACATTATCTCTTGGTCAAATATAGTCCATGAGTCATCTGCGCTTGGGAGAGGGAATGATAATGCCACGCTTGTGTCTGGCGGGGTATGCATAGCTTGCATACTAGATTCAAGTCGGTGGGAGAGAAAGGTATGAATGCTTGCAGCGGACTGATTCCTTCGTTCTAGACTTTGGAGATGTGCTTGGATGAGGTGTAAATCTAGAACGAACATTAGAAGAGGTCGATAATTCTGTTTTTCGAAATGCCATACCATCTGGGTGAGTCATGCCGTCTTCAACACCCTGGAGAAGTAATACGGCCGCCCATGTGATCATCTATGTTGTTAAAAATAGAATTATAGGCTCTGGATCAGAACTTACAACCAAGTCCCAGTTAGACCATATGCTCGCATCATCTTGTCTCAGCCTCAACACTGCCCGAGCCGAAACGAGCAACTCGTGTCGCTCAAAAGAACTAATATTCGCAGGACTGAGATCAAATCCACGAGCAGGATGATAGATCGAAAGCACGTATAGTTTGTGCAGGTGATACTGGAGCAGAATGAGAATACCTTGCCGATCAGACGGAGTGGGCTCTACCAACAGTCAGCCCCGGAGATTGTATTCTGGCTCATGGATACTTACGGGATGAGTTATTATATCGTACCAGCCAGTCATCAAGTTTCCGTGCCCAGTGCCGGATGACCTGCGAGTCATTTTCAGTAAACGGGGACCGAGCTATAGGCACGATGTCAACCTCATCTGCATTGAGAGAGGACCATATGCTCGGTAGCCCACGGCCGACAAAATGACTCAGTCCAAAGTGCATCATTTCTGCAAGGTCCTGGAAGGCATTTCCTTCATGGCTATCTAGCCGCTGTATATTTGGATTTGCAGCATGTCGTGGGAGGAGTGGATAGGACATGTGCATTGAGGCGTGTTCGATATCAATGACCTGAAGCCAACAAACGTAAATAAAGTATCCGAATCTCGGGATTTGTTACCTGCTCCTACCTGAAGACCGGAGAACAAGCCACGCCAGTCTTTCGTGGTGGAATTCATCTCTGCTGGGCAATGATCAAGCCAGATACGATATGCCATTGCAATCCACGATCCTGTGGCACCAACATAAGCCTCGCAGCTCAGACTAGCCATTATTAACCCAAGGATATCGTGAAATGCTTTCTCTCTTTTGGATTGTGGGGAGAGCTTTTGTTCTTCGTCCTTGTGTTCTGATACCTGCAGGTCACTTCCACGCAGACACGGTGTCACAAGCTCAGCGATAGCACTATACATAGCGGAACAATATTCCGAGTTCAAAGATGCCAGCCTAGCAGACGGATGGTGTAGAGCAGATATGTAAAGCACAGAAGCGAGCAGGACAGGGGTAGGGGAAGCGAACGCGCTATGATCTGTTAGGAAGTGCAGAAGTGGGAGACTTTTCAAGAAACTGTGATATTGTTAGATATCGGCCGTCACATCTTGATTTAAATAGTGCTTACGAGCTCCATAGCTGCTGAACAACGGATCGCGACCAGATACTATCATCTGGAGACGGACGAGTAATGAGTCGTAAATGCGCAAGCGCTGTCCATACACCTTGTAGTGGCACGACTTCCGTGTCTTCTTCGAGACTTGCCCCACGAGACATACTAAGTTGGTCTTCGGGGTCCTGGGGTTCCTCAGTGATACCTAGCGCGGCCTCGATCCTGGCCAGCCGGTTCAAAATCGACTGATGATCCGGGATCACTGACAGAGAAGCAAAAGCTTGATCTTGCTGCATCTCCATTAATTCATGCATTGCAGATGCCTCGACGAGGTGTTAGCTTTGTTTCTGGGTTATTGTTTCCGTGATCCTTTGCTCACATTGGCCCGGGGCTTAAAGACACAGGCTGTTCGAGTGTGACGGCAACGGCGACATGGAGGAGGTCCGGATACTTCGCATTTCATCTGATTCATGTGAGTGGTCTTTTTGCTAGTATGTTGGAAAGTAGTCTGTCTATACCTTTAGTCGTCGGCAATTTACTTTGACTGGTTAGCTTTTCTCTACAATACCAATGCCGTCTCGGACTCACCACAGGCCTTGGTCGGCTTCGGGCCGACCATGGCGCCCGATCTCTTCATGGCTACTCAGAGTCACTCTCCATTACTCGCGGTGATAACTGATCAAAAAACCGGAGAAGAAGTAAAGAGAAACAGTTATATCGGGGCTTATCAGCGGTGGGGAATCACCATTTCTCCGCTTTTTAGCAGAGACCAATTATCATTCCTCATTCTTTTAGTCAAAGACATTGAAAGATTCCAAGATTTGTTTACTTTGATATTTCTACGAAGTTTACGAATTCTATGAATTCTATGACGATATTTATGTTCCCTCGTTTTTAGTCCGTCCTGTGTAGACTTATAAATCCAGGACGGGTCTGAAAAACGGAGAAGAGAAGTGTACCTGGCGGTTCACATTCCCTTTGTTCTTGCGCGAGCATCCTGATGGAAATGAATGCGACATCTTGCAACCAAAGGTAGTGACTGGTTGTAGATGTGATTAGCTCGGTGCCGAAGCACGTGAATATCTTCAGCGCTGTTGGGGGTCAAGGCAGGGGAAGACATGAAAACAGGGAGGAAACAGAAGAATAGAGATGTATACAAATGGGATATACACGATATATGTACAAGGTAGGGTGTGAAGTAGGGTGTGATGGAGGAAAGTGAAGTATATAGAAATACACAGGGAAGTGAGGTGGTGATACAAATTCCCTAAACAAGGATCATGTCCAGTTCGGAGAAGGTGTGCAAAAACAAAGAGGCAACTGCTGAATGGCGATCCTTGGGTGATATCGCTTATGCGGCGGCATCCATGGAAAGCTTGCGCAGCTCCCATTCCGAATCAGCCCAGTCTTTCTTCTCACCCAGAACACAAGTCGCTTGCCGTGAGCCATTCACCAGGAACTTCTCAGCGACCGCGTTGACATCCTTGGCTGTAACATCCAAGACCTGTTCTCTCCAGCGCTGGTCCATTTCATGGGTAACGCCGCTCATGAAGTAGCGGGCCCCTTCGTCATCAACGCTCATAGGAGCATCAAGTCCTTGGAAGATGCCAAGCTTAGCTTCTTCAATCTCACGCTCAGACCAAGCACGATCTCTAGCGAATATACCACTGTTTTTGAAGACCTTGAGCGAATTCAGAGGATTCGGGTCTCGGTAACTCATGAAGGTGAAGATACCCTTGATGGGTCCGTTGCTAGCACCGGCTCCGTATGCACCTCCCTTCTCACGGATCTCGGGGTGGAGGTAGTTGTGGGTGAGAAGCTGAGACAAGATGCTGAGAGGAGCGCTGGATGGGTCAACGAATGGCACAGTTTGGCGAGCCTGGCCAGAATAATAGACCTTGTACGGCATCTCGTAGAAAGCCTTGTCGGCTGACTTGAAGGAAGACGTGGTAAGATTGGCGCTTGGGGACTGTGTCCGAGGCAGTCCGGAAATCCACTTTTGCAAAATCAATTCGTTGTTGCCAGCACTCTCCTTTTCACACACCACGCGGACGCGAAGGTTGGACGAAGAGATGGCAAAGGATTGGATAAGGCGAAGCTTCTCGATTAGCTCCTGGAGACGCTCGGGAGAGGACTCTGCGTCACGGAGCAGGTTAGCCGTAGCCTGTAGCTGCTCAAGGCCAGACTGCTGCTCTTGGATCCAGAAGCTCCGAGAAAGACTGGCAGCCGCAGCATTGACAGCAAACCGGTGACCAGTTCCTGCAATGGCATCCAAAGCTCCATTAGTCGTCATCCGTAGAAGTTCTTGAATCATCGCAGGCGCAGCAGGGCTTGTGAAGTCCGTCTCTGTGACCAAAACCGAGAGTATTTCCAGCATCTCGGGAATGTTTTTGTCAATAGCGAATCCAGAGAACTGCAAACCCTCCTTGAAATGATCCAAGTGCGTTGGGGACGACACAAGGAATGACGATGTTGAGATCCCTCCGGTTTTCAGTTTGATCAAATCTTCCCACTGTTCCATCGACCGATTGGCAGTTCCCAGACGCATAACGCAGTCGTTAAAGAGGGGCATAAGCAATCGGAGTTCATCGGGCAAATCAACGAAGTCATTCAAGGCCTGGAAGTAGGTTAAGCCATTGGTGGGAGCTTCACGCCAGACGACGTCAGCGCCCTCGACTTTCGACTCTCGGACAGGTTTGCGTTCCTTCTCTCGCGAGATGTCCTTGACTCTCAACGATGGGAGACAGCTCAGGTCAGCATTATGGGCGTCCTCTTGGATCTTGAGAAGTTCCAATTCCTCCTCTCCAAGCTTGGTGACAGCCTTCTCAACTGATCCATGCTCTTCAATAAGCTGGGCAAGTTTCTTGTCCTTTCGCACCACCTCCTTCTCGTCCAACTCTTTGTTGAAAGTGGGAGTACCGACCATGGTAAAGGTCATGCATTGGTCGTTTATGAGGTATTTCTCTACCAAAGACTCGAGATAACCAGGTTTAGCATATCTTCTCTTGAACTCGTCGATGACATCATTCCAAGCAAGCTCTTTCATGGGGTTTGAGCCGTTGAGCCAAGACGAAATGGTCTTCTCCATCACACCAATTCCAAAGTTTGCAGTCTTGTGGCGCAGCGAAAGCTCCAGCTGGTGAAGGAATCCACGAATTTTCTCCTCGCTGAACCCAGCAGAAACGGATTCCCGGAAGACGTTTTGAATCACGTTTTTGATATTCGGGGCTTCCGCTTCAGTCACCCCGTTAAGTCCAACCGAGAAGATAGGAATCCGACCAGATGGGTCAAGACCTGTGTTTGGTGTGAAAGAAGAGCCCAGACCACTCTCAACAAGGGCTCGGTACATGGGTGAGCCGTAGCCATCGAGGAGAAGCGAGGAAACGATTCCTACAGAGAAAGTTTCCACAATATCGGTTGTGTCACCCATGTACCAGGATGTGGATGTCTTGTGCTGCTTGTCTTCGCTGGCGAACGTATCGATGGGGCCCGGAACAGTCACATTAAGAGGTCCCTTGGTGAGATCCAGAGGAAGCTTGATATCAGTATCCGCGTGCCCTTTCTGAAAGCCATCCAGGACTGTACCGATCTGCTGCAGGTGATCAGCCAGAGGCATATCACCATATGTAAGGATCTTGGAGTTGCTAGGGTGATAGTTGCGTTTGGAAAACTCCGTCAGCTGCTTATGAGTGAGATCTGTGATATACTCTGGGTCTCCACCCGAGTTGTTTAGCGAGGGAAAGATACTCTCTTTGAAACGAATATAGTAGAGATAGTTTGCATCAGAGATCTGGCCCTTCATCTCGTTGTAGACAACACCCTTAAATACGATGTCCTCCAATGATAGCTGTTTTTCAGCTTGCCCGGGAATCGACTCTCCAGCACGCGGATCCTCGGGGCCCAAGCGCCATCCTTCTTGTCGGAAATCCGATTCCTTGAGAAGAGGGTGTAGAGTAGCATCAAGATAAACAGAAAGAAGATTTTGGAAATCTTGTTGGTTGGTTGTAGCAAAGGGGTATGTAGTGTGGTCGGAGGCTGTGAAAGCATTCATGAAATTCGATAGGGAGCGCGGAAGCATCTTAAAGAACGGGTCACGGATTGGAAATCTTGAAGGAGCATAAGGTCAGCAAAAATATAGGTATTGAATATGATATGATTCACTTTTCACTGCCACATAATGTAGTATGCTCCAGAATATGAGGCACACCAGTAGCATCCGGCGGGTTTGTCTTGAACCCAATTCCAAACACATTGTTCTTATCATCTCTGGCGACATGCATGTAGTCCGCATCGGTCCGGTCATGCTTCAGCCAGACTGCAGTCAGATGAAGCTCGGGAACATGTTTTTTCTCCTGTAGAGTGAATCCGTGGAGCTTCTCGCCGACCTTGGGAAAGTTATCCAAGTTGGTCACCGTCGATGCGGCTCTCCGGGTATTGCGTGGAAGGACCGTTTGCGTTGACTTCAATGAACGACTAATAAGCGGATTAGACTTGGGCACTCGAGCTGTACCGAGGCGCATCGATGAGCGCAACATAATTATGGGTAGTTGACGATCGTTAAGAACAACCCCGGAGTCGAAAATGTCCAGCCCTGGAGGTTCCACCGCCCAGGCTTACATCATCTATGCTAGCGTAAGCCTCACTCTGGCCGCCCGCTTGTCGAAGTTCTGCTCCGAAGACCAACATTTGCTCTTTCCCGAACGATACGACAAGCAAACGATCCTTACATCCTAGGGCCAGTGATCCCGCTCGTGAGCCTTGCCTCCGGGATCTCTCCTCCGTGTGATTGATCCGTCTACATCCTGCCCTGTATCCCGCCTATTCGGCGCAAATTTTCGGCTTCCGGCCTTCGTACCAACCCCCTCGTGAATCGAATCGCCAAATACGCTGTTTTTGCACTACTCACGCAAATACCTTGAAATGTCGTCCACCTCTATGGCAAAGAAGAACAAGGTGAAGAAAGCGGCCGATCCAAACGAGACGTCCAAGCTTTTAGCCGCCAAGATCTCCCAGCTGGAGCAAGATGCCGCCGGCGAGAAAGACCAAGAGGCGGAAATTGGTGCGTGACTCCCTTTGTATTCTGCGGCGGCATTTTTCTTCTTTGCTTGGTACCGCTGGACTGCGGGGTTAGTCTGGAACAAGGGTCACTGACTTGGATTTTGATATACAGAGCGCGAGGTCAAGAAAGCAACCCGTGATCTCAACCAGCTTTTGAGCAATATCGAATCCCCTATGACCAAACTCGAAACCGTCCATAAGAAGTACACCGAGCTGTTGGCGGATATGAAGAAGTTGGATCGTGATTATTCTAAGAGCAAGAAGCGCGCCGATCAGTTGCAAAAGGACCAGGATAAGGGCAAGTCTGATCTCAACAAGACCGTTACAATGAAGGACAAGCTAGAGAAGCTGTGTCGAGAACTTACCAAGGAGAACAAAAAGGTCAAGGTGGGTCCATCAGCATGCGCCTCGAGACGATTGCGCCAAACACCGCGGAGGACTTGCCAGCTAAACGATTTGGTAGGATGAGAATAAGAAGCTGGAGGACACTGAGAAGAAAGCGCGCTTGATTGTGAACGAACGTCTCGACTCGCTCCTTTACGACATTCAAGACGTCATGGCTGCCAAAGGGAACCCTCGTAGCGAAAAGGTGGATGTCGATTTGGATGAAGCGTACGATTGAGTTCCTCTCCTTCTCCGAGCTTCACATTTGCTAATCGGAACCTATAGACTCCGCGCCAAGCTTAAGACCATTAGCGAGCAGTTTGACACACGCGACTTGCATTACAGGGGCCTCCTACGTGGCAAGGACTCCGAGATTCAAAGTCTCGCTTCCAAATTTGAGGAGCAGCGCCGCGCTGGTGAAGTTGAAGCCAACCGAAGCCGAGCTTTGACCTCTCAGGTTTCCACTTTCTCCCATACCGAGGCTGAACTGCGCAGCCAACTCAACATCTATGTGGAAAAATTCAAACAGGTACAGAAGGGTTCCTATAACCCGTCTCACTCCCCGGTCGCTGACGAAGACCACCAGGTCGAGGACACTTTGAACAACAGCAACGATCTTTTCCTTACCTTCCGCAAGGAGATGGAAGAAATGTCCAAGAAAACCAAGCGCCTAGAGAAGGAGAATCATACTCTCAATCGGAAGCACGAGCAAACTAATCGCAATATTCTGGAAATGGCAGAGGAACGGACCAGAAATCATGAAGAACTTGAACGGTGGCGACGGAAGTGCCACCACCTAGAAGCCCTTTGTCGGCGTATGCAAGCCCAGGGTCGAGGCGAAGGACTTGCTCTAGCGGAAGGCGATGATCATTTAGAGGGCGATGATGAAGGCACTGAAAGCGAGTACGACGATGACTACGAAGATGACGAGGAGGATATCAGTGATGAGGAAGATCTCGAGCCACCCCCAACCCGGGTCGAACAACCCTCGGAGAAGCCTGTCTTCGGTCCCACCCCGCCCCCGAATCTTTTGCAAGCTCGAGCGAATGGCAACACTGCGGGAGTCAATGGCTTGGTTTTCTAAGATTATTCCAATTTATTTGACGTCGATTTTGATCGAAGCGACTTTGGCTACCTCCATGAACATTCGGTCTTGGACTTCGTACTTTTCTCCCAAGGCAAATGCTTCAGTTTGTCTTGGGTTTGCCTTGGGTTTACAGAGATCTGAAGATTCGGGTTGAGTTCGAAAATGTAGAAGTTCTTTGCCATCTATTTTTTGTCTGTCTCGCGATATTCCTCGGTAATTACCAAGGCATAATCCATCTTCCTCGTTGGTTTCTTCAAGTCTTATTGGTTTCATATTTTCTGTACAAGTACATGTCATAGTATAACAAGAAAAAAACCTTGGCAAATATGATGCATCCTAACTTTTACCTAATATCTATAGCTTACTCGATGACCCTGTGGAAGTGATATATGAGCCTCCGACTTTGAGCACCTCGATGGCCTGCTGAACCATTTCCTTCACAATGATTCCGGCTGGTTTAATCTCGTTAACACTAGCCGAGACGTCGCCCATGAGAAACGGCATATCGGTGTCCTTGTCGTTCTCCAAATCATCCATCATGGGCACAACACCCTTGGAAGTCAGCGCGGCAATATCAGCAGGCCGCGCTTCCCATTCCTTAATATAATCATTAGGAAGCATGCGCAAAGGCCGACCAGTGACAACCAGCGTGCGCTTAGTCTCGCCAAATTGCGCCCCAACAACAGCCTCCTTATGCAAGCGACTAGCGCCGCTCTCCTCGGAGGCCACAAACCGCGTGCCCACCCAAACACCCGCAGCACCAAACATCAACGACGCCGCCAGACTGCGGCCATCGTTGATACCACCGGCTGCAACGACAAGTGCCGGTTGCCCAGTGAGCGGACTCTTATACTGCCGAGCAACATCCACAATAGCAGGTACGAGAACGGAGAACGGCACTTCGCCGGTATGACCGCCCCCCTCGCCGCCCTGTGCACATACAATATCGACCCCCGCCTTTAACGCCTTATGGGCGTGCTTCGGTGCGCCAACCATATTCATAATCAGGATTCCGGCCTCGTGGAGCCGCTTGATGGTCTTTGCGGGCGGGATGCCGACGGCAGAGACGAAGAGCTTGGCGCCGTGCGAGATGGTCACCTCGATTAGCTCGTCCAGCTGGCCGTGTGTGTAGTCGTGGTTTGTTGCACGCGCTGAACCTCCGACCTGCGGAAGGGCGAGATCTACGCCGAAGGGGAGAGAGGGGTCCCGGAGGAGTGATTTGAGCTCCGTGAGCATCTCTGATAGTTGAGCTGGTGTGTAGCCTAGTCCGCCGATTGTACCCAGACCGCCGGCATTAGAGACCGCTGCTGCTAGTGGAGCTCCAGATGCGCGGGCCATGCCAGCTAGCAGCACTGGGTGTTGAATCTTGAGGAGAGAGCATAGTGGTGTTTGGAGAGACATTGTTTTTGGGTTGTAGAGATGGCTATGGTAGATTGTCAGAGGTAGAAGTAGGTGGATCTAAGAGATGGTCTTGTCTCGATGCTTTCTTAGATATGGAGAGTGTATAGATGTTCCACGTTCAAATATGAAGAATAGAAATGCGGGGAAGCCCTAAGATATGCACGGACCGAGGCATCTGTTAGCCGATCTCCATATGTGCTCCTGGGTACAATATATGGTGCTTTGTGAATCGTACATCTCAGTAAGTATACACTCTTTTCCAGTATCATCGAGCACAGAGAACTCCCGAGGTCGGCTTAATGTGATCTGTCGCTACGAAGTACAAAATACATACTTCGTTTTTTTGAGCCTAAGGAATTTGTGAAAACTAGAAAACGAAAAGAATAGTATGATGAATCAGGTTAATGGGAATAATAGCAGATTCCAGGAGTCAGTCCGATTACTCCCATATAAAATTACATCGACCCACTAGATTCCCAAAGCGGTAATGTAATTGAACGCGCTAACAGACGCGTGAGCGCGTCAAACACACCTCTTCGCATCACGATTCATCTCAACCATCCCCGAAACACAAGGCCTCAACATCATTCCGCAAAATATGGTACCGGACGCCGAGGATTACACTTTCTTGTGTCCCCCCAGGTAATACCTCTTAATCCACTCTGCATCCAAGCTGCTACGTTTCGGGGAGCTTTCGCTAACTATCTGCGATAGCGAGGAGGAACAGGAACAAGAGCCAATTTACCGCAATCACTCCTATTACGGTCCTGGTTATACCTTCCACCTACCAGCTGGCGCAGGACGACACTATCAGCAGCAATATGACGACATGTACTTTTTGCGACTCGCAAAGTTGAAACCTGCCGTCGAACAAGTCGCGACGGATGCGTGGGATGGCCTCATTGTAAGAGCACTCAGTCTTAGGAAATATTTTGCGCTCTCGGCTATGGAATTTCCTAACACCTGCTTGTGAATTAGATCGCTGGAGAGAAGGTGCGACGTGTCGACCGAGTCCTCGATGTCCGACAAGGCGAGCTGTGTTGGGTGGCCGGCACCGTATATATGCATTTGCCAATGAAGCCGAATATTTTGGATGATCTCAACCAAGAGGTTCGTTTTCTAACCTTGCTGCTGCTTCTTCCACTGACAACCCATAGAACTTCACTTCTGCGCCCCCTCCCCGCCTCACCTACACCGACCCTTCAGACCCCTCTTTGACCCAAATTATGATGGAAGATGAGTCTGGCCGCTTACGGCTCACCGGAAAATTCCTGCAGTCTACACAGCTGGCGACAGGTGCAATTATCGCGGCTTTGGGCACTGAAAATGCGGATGGAGATTTCGAGGTTATTGATATCAAGCTTCCGGATTTGGCTCCGCAGCTTCAACGATGGGGGGGCAATGCTCCACTTGCTGGAAAGGAACACGGCAAAATCGCCTTCGTTAGTGGCCTGGAAATCACAGGAACATCAAGCGACACGCTTGCTTTGGAGCTATTGACGGATTATCTTCTGGGCTACACGGGATTCTCGGGGAACGCCGAAAACAGTCCTTCCTTGGGCTCATCTAAAATCTCCCGCTTGATCATCGCAGGTAATTCAATTGGAGCCAACATAATTGAAGATGTGGCGGTGACAAGCTTCGGCGATGCTGAGGCAGAGGAAGCCCAGCCAAGAAAGTATGGCTATGACTGCTCTGCATACAATGCCGCGCCTATCACAGAACTCGATAACTTTCTAGCGGAGATTTTGCCCAGCATTCCTATCACACTCATGCCGGGCGAAAAAGATCCTGCGAACTTCTCTCTCCCTCAACAGGGGATCCATCGTACTATGTTCCCTCAGGCAAGAGAATATTCCGCACCTCCTGTCAGAGGGGATGAAAAGCCTGAGGTGAGCTGGTTCGACAGTGTCACGAACCCATGGGACGGCGACGTGGAAGGCTGGCGAGTATGGGGATGCAGCGGTCAGAATGTTGACGATGTTCTGCGGTATATCCCTATTGAGGGTGATGATAGCAGCCCAGAAAAGGAGACAGATTCGAATGCTCGGATGCGAATCATGGAAGCTATGCTTCGTTGGCGCTGCGGTGTTCCCACTGCGCCGGACACAATTTGTATGCTTGGACACTTGAATCTTTCAGAGAAATTTATGCTAACAATACCCTTTAGGGTCATATCCATACCAATCCGAGGAGCCATATGTCATCGAGTCCTGTCCTCATATTTTTTTCGCTGGCAATCAACCACAGTTCAAGACTACCACGATTGAAGGTGGCGTCCCTCCCCGCCTAGATGGCGACACTGAAATGACGGGTGCCGCTGATTCCTCTGATACAGCCCGTGTTCGGCTGTTGGCACTTCCCAAATTCAGCGAAACTGGGGAGTTAATTCTGGTTGATACCGAAACGCTAGAGGTCGAGGTGGTCCGGTTTGGAGTTTTCAACGGTCAGGAAGAACAAAAATAAACTGATAGAGCTACCAATCAATGGTACTAATGAAATAATTACATTCTCAAACCCTACACGTCTGATACATTTATATAAGCCTGTCGTATACACCCCGGGTGGGCTCTACGCGCCAAGACCCACATTTGGAAAGAAATCCATCCCACTAACTTCCTCCGCTTTATATCCATCGAGATATTGATAGACAACGAGTTTTTCCGCAAGAGTGCATACATATTGAGTCATTCTGAATTATCCATACTCAAAGAATTATATTCTCATCATCCACCACAATGCTGCTCAATGCCAACATCGGTACGCTGCTCTATGCCCATACCTGGATATATACTTTCCCCGGAGATTTGCAGATTGAGACTATAATACAAACAGAAGAAGCTAATTCTGACTTCCGCGGAATAGCCCTCTGCTCCTCAAAGGCTCTTTTAGTCCCGTACTCATCATGGCATGTACCCCAATACCACGAATGGATGAAAGACCCGGTAAGCAAACAAGATCAATAAGATCCTAGCTATGATCGGCCACCTTTCTCACAGACCCCAAGGAAATCCAAGAAGCAACAGCCTCGGAGCCCCTAACTCTGGAAGAAGAATACTCGATGCAACGCAGCTGGCGCCAAGACGCCGACAAGCTAACCTTTATCGTCTGTCGGGCAATCACAACAGGCATTGAAGACGATGCCCCTAGCCAGACAGAGCTACAAACTGAAAGTGATTCGCCGGCTACTATGGTCGGCGATATCAACCTATTTCTGCGCATCGACGACGGCGAGGAGGGCAACAGCCCGCCGCGGATAATCGGCGAGCTCGAGCTCATGATCGCTGAGAAAGTCAACCAGCGATGCGGGTTTGGGCGCGCTGCATTACTCATGTTTATGCGGTATATTATTCAGAACCAGGGTGCTATTCTGGATGAGTTTGTTGGTGGTGGTGATGTTGATGTTGAGACTGTGCGGAAGTTAGGGACTGGTGTTAAGACACTGGGGTCATCGAAGGGGTTATCGTTTGAGTATCTCAATGTCAAGATTGGACAGACGAATTTGAGAAGTTTGGCTTTGTTTGAGGGACTTGGCTTTGAGAGGGTTTCTGCTGAGCCGAATTTCTTTGGGGAGTTTGAGTTGCGCAAGATGGATTTGAGTCTAAGTGGTATTGATGCGGCGCTTGAGGGGGCGAATGTGCGAGGGTTTATCGCTTTGCCTTATGAGAGAACAGAATAGATTCGAATTATCAATGTTTTATAGGGACTCTGGTTGGTTTGGAGTTGTGTTATCACATAGCATTCATTCATTTCGTGATATTTGAATAACACTAGATAGAATGAGCATCCAAACTCACATCCCTCCAAACACCCTCCACCTGATGTTTAATTATAACCCTGAGTCAGGCATACAAAGCCGGTCCCGGGATAATATACGAAGTAAGCGTAGAATAAATATCGAACAGGATCCCAGGATCAGTATTGATATACAACTCCCCACCAAACGTGCCATCCGGCACATCACTTCCACCGCCAGTGATTTCCAAATTGAAGCACTGTGGGTAGTTCTGAGCGCCATTCAACTGGCCAGCAGAGTGCAGAGCGATAATCTCATGGCGCATCACATAGTTACCCGCAGCAAGAGTGGGGGGGATCTTCACAGTCCACTGGCCTCCAGCAGCAATAAGATCATCGGTAGCCCATGTACCAGGAGGAGTTGCACCATCGATGAGACCATCTTCTTCAATCTTGAAGAACTTTAGTGTCGTCTTGTCGACTGTGCTGCAGTCACCGTTGCATGAGGCGAGGTAAGTTATCAGAGGACCGTGATGTGAGTCTGGCCAGGTCGTCCATTGGAGATCGATACTGGAGCCAGCGGTGACGGTGGCGCTCAAAGCTGCGTTGACTCCGTTTCGGTGGCAGATTATATTCGGATCTTGGTATTCGGTGCCGTCTTCAAAACCGAGGTCGGTTGCCGTTGTTGCCCAGCCGACACTGTCAGGGGGGTCTGCCATGTAGGGGTATTTGTCAACGATGTAGCCAGTGTAGCTGATAATGTGGTTAGTTGTTATTGGTATGGAGACTTTGTTTCTTAGATTGACTTACTTCTTGCCATCAGCTACGATGCTAGAGACATAGCCGTGGCCTGCAACAAGAGAGGCAGAGGCTAGGAGCGTAGATAGCTTTGAAAGTGTCATTTTGCTCTGGCTTTCTGGGAAATAAATGAATGGATATTTCTGTATGTGTATGATATATATATTTGACCTCAACAGCTATATTTTATATACATAGCCCTCTCAGATATCGTCCTAGTCTGGTCATCTATTAATCTAGCCGGGCGTATGTTCCTGGAGGAGGTCCGTTCTGATCATGGAATAGTATCAAGCACAATTACGTCAATTGGCACGGGTTGGTGTGAGCTAAGAAGTGTTGTTATGGGAACCTGTTGGTGGAAAATCATAGATCGAGCTCAGCCTTTTTATTTTATTGGTCTGAATGGAAAGCCTCGGTATGCGAGCCGACGGAAATATAGAATCTGCCACGGAGTACTCCGTACGGAGTACCTAATATTCCTAAGACTCTCAGTCTACTCACCGTATGACCCGATTGATGCCAAGGAATTCTGCGACATGCCAAGCAACGCGAAGGGCAACATGTATAGGAATGAAGTGCTGAGTGCCGTGGCTTGAAGAGTAATGATCTACAGAAATACCTAGGTACTAGTTAGCTAAAGATAGAAAAAAGGGCTGATATCTACTTATTCCATATATCTGGTAATGCACAATAATGAGGTATACTCGAGCTAAAGTTCTGATTGATTATTATACGCTGGATATGTTAACACCCGAAAATGTAAATGTAAAAAGTGGTATAATGCCAAGACAGTATCAGTAGTTGACTTAACAAAATAAGACAAGATCAATGACAGTAACAAATATTCACTGAGAGATAGGTAGAGAAATGTTATGCGAATGTCAGTAACGTTGTCCTAAGCGTAATGAAGGAGATACAACCCTATATAACGAGAAGATTAGTACATCAGGGTGCGCTTACCGGAGTAGTATGGACTATAACGAAGAGCCGGGTGCATAGTGACCAGGCCAGCTTCATACAACATCTTCTGTAAATACTGAGGAGCAACACTTCGAATAGCCGCTCGCTCCTTACCCGTGAGTCTATCTCTAAGAGTCCTCTGGAAGCCGTGCCCGTTCAAGACTTCCTTCAGTTTCCTAAAGAGCCTAGAGAAAGACTGATGATCTCTAGATGAGGCAGCAAGCCCAAGGATTGACGGACCTTTCCCCATAGCATTAGCACTGCCGATAATAAAATCCCTCGGTTCGAAAGGAAAGCCCGAGAGGAAGAAAAGATCAAGTAGCTTCTCGGCTCTAGCGTACAGTGCCAGAGAAAGAAATGACCAGCCGCCCTCGTTGCAACAGCTCATATGGGTAGCAGGCAGAACCTCGGAGAACCACTCAAAACAATCTGTGCAGTCAGCCAAAATGATACCGGTGATGAGATCGGGACCAAGGCCGCGGGGACCTTCGATGGGCATGATGCGTTGAGGGTCTACGCCCTGGAGGGTTAAAGCCTTATTTGCATTATCGCTGTTTGAGTACCACTGGACAGTATTCACGCCTTGCTTGAAACTGTTCGACGCATTGCTACCCATCCATCCGAGTTTGATGTATTGTTCTAGTGTCCTATTTGTTTTCGTCAGCTGGTTAATGGCATGGAAGTTTTCGTGTGTCAATCTGGGAGAGCTCGCCAAAAGTTCATCTAGAATATTGAAGATAATCTCTGCTGGGAACATGCTAAGGTTTCCCATAGCAGGGATCAGTGGCTTTTTGTGGCACATATTTTCGATTCCACCTTCGCTGGGTTGTCTGAATGAGGCCAGCCGTGTTAAAACTCGAATAAGATTCTGGAGAAGATAATATATATAGGCACGGAAAAATGCGATGCTAATGCTGTTGATAGCTTCATTTTTGACGAGCTCGAGATGATTTATATAGATCCGAGGCATGCTTCGGGCATCCATCCTTGCTTTGACTTTTAGAAGAAAAAAATCCACAAAGGCCTTTCGAGACGCCTGTTCTGAGAGATAATGATCCTCAACAACGGTATTGTGCTAGCAAAGGTATGAATTAGACTCGAACAAAGACCCAGAAAGGCCGATATCAAAGAACCCAACGCCGGATAAAAATAGGGTATTGATCCCGACTTCAGTACCGCCTTCCTAATTAGGCTAGGTGCCCACCTGCTTCTGCGGTAGACAGCAACGGGTACCTACAATTTGTATGTAAACCCCGAACAAAAATAAGTCTCTCCTATCATATCTTGCTTCATCGTAAACTGCCTCATTACCTGCTTTATCAACTGCCCCATTTCCAAGTACTTAAATCCTATAGGAACCTGGTAGAATCTATAGTAGCAGACTCCATTGTGGCAGATACTTTGGCAGTGTTCTTAGGCCGTACTGAATTCAGGCAGGCGCGATGGTTAGATCCAATGGCTGTGCGGAGTATCAACACCCTAAAAATAGGCATTGTCATTGCTCTCAGTCGAGCCATCAAAGCAAAGAAAGAATTGTGGTCACAATGTCAATCTGAGATTGTTTAACTCGAGATCACGACTGAAGTAGAGTCAATAACTGGAAATTTCAAGGACAGCCGATCTATTCCATACGGTCTACTTGTTGCCTTGGGAGACAAGATCCGAGATGAGAGAATATCCATGACGAGAATAATGGATTAGGAAATCTCGATTGAGAACGAGAAACCCATGTAGTAATGATATTTCAACTGTTTTTTTTTCATTGGGTTGTAGGGACTAGAACCTCCGACAAAAGTGTTCCTCGAGTGCGTCCAGAAAATACGAGTCGCCTGGCCGGTGAATAACAGCAGCCGGTTTCAAAGGCGCAAAGAAACTCCTGCGACGTAAGATTCATGTTCCACGCCACGGAATTTTCCCCGTGTCGGCTCGCAGAGGGACCACGGCCGTGTCATGTATCCCCCCAACAGTTGGTCTTGCATGCATCAACAACCAATCACGCCGCACTCCGATTCTCCGTTCATTCCATGGTTACCGAATTTAGTTGGTCTTCTTGGTGCCCTTGGAGACATCGACGACCTTGAGGGCTGTTCAGAGGAAAATCGTCAGCATAGGTTCAGAGCTATATCCAAGAGCCGTCTTCCAAGTGTATATCCTCTGATACCTCAATAACTCAGACGGAGGAACAATGCGATTGAAACGTACCAGGGGGCAGACTCTGCTTGAGCTTGTCGGCCTTTTCGGAGTCCTTCAAGACAAGGGTGTAAAGGTTGCGGTGGCAGCGGACCTTGAACTTGGTTTGCTGGTTCTTGCCGTTCTTCTTGATGCGGGCGGCTAGAGGCGTAAACAGTCAGCACCGATGATCATCCCCAGGCCTCATCTCGGAGGTCTATCGATGCAGCGTAACGTACAGGAGGCATCCTTCCGGCGGCAGATCTCAATGAACTGCTTGATATCGGAGACTTCGGCAGGCATAATGACGGTTGCGGGTGTTTTGAAGCAAGGTGCAAAAGAGAAAGCTCACTGTCGACACTAGCCTCTAAGGTGAATGTGTGCGGATCACATTAGGGCTTTAAGCTGCAAAAGCCCTTGCTTAGTCAGCCATGAGCTACAGTTGGTGCCTCAGGCGGGGTAACTGAAGTGGCTGGTGGTGGTGTTGTGGCTCGTGCAACTGGGGCCATAAATGTGGCTGGAAGATTGGGGGGCAGCGAATGCGAATACGGGTAATGATGAACAGTCCCTGTCTCTGCTTCCTCAGGAATGCGATATGACGCAAAATGGTCCACCATTGTTCGCGATGGTTGACTTCGTCGGTCAGTATATCCTGGCCATCTTGAATTTCTGCTCTCCAATCGTGAATGGTGATGCAGTTTCGGCGGCGGCTGAACGGGTGTGTTTCCTTGAGTATCGAATCTCTCCAGGTCCACACTCTGCGGAGGAGTCATGCCTTTTGATGTGACATGTAGGTGGACTCGGTATCGTCTGTAAAGGGCTATGCTGTAAATGGAATCAATGTCTGACTCGATACTGCAATGGTGATCAATTATACCCTTGTTTGATGGCAGCTCCCACCGCAATAACGAATGTAACCGAAGACAGGAAAATGACTGCTTCCATGTCGTTTATTAATTCGACTGTTCAAGGGGTTTCAAAATGAATGATGGTAACCATGCTGGACTGGTGGGTATAGATATGCGATGCTGATGATAGTTGTTAGGCTCACATTTCATTTTCTACCTGAGCAATACCCATAAGTCTATATTTACGTATTTAATTAGTTCATGGAAAGTGCCACCAACTGAACTTGGGAGTTATCGAAGATATGTAGTTGAAGTAGGTGCAACTGTATAGTTCCAAGGCAGCAGTGGTGGCGTTAGTGTGGCGGTGCAACCCACGTCTTGACGAGCTGTTCACATCTATTCGTCTTGAATACTTGTCTTTTGCACGTGCCCTGTGATACTTTTCTTCTTTATTTCTTCTCTTTTGACGATTAAGAAACAATACTTCTGCATCAACCCAAGAACCTCAAATAATCACCGCATCATTTTCAAGATGCCGACCCCTTTGGACCGAGCATTGCATTCTAAGGTACTACGTCTGTCTATACTTTTATGATAGATATCTAATACTGGACTCGATAGAATCTATTCCTCGGTAGACGATCTCAAGTCAAGGCACTTGGCAACATTTTCTGACCACTATCTTCCTATGTAGGATTCGCAGGAATGGTCACTGCAGTGGCAGCCTATACTATCTTGGGCAGCGATGTCCTTCCCGCACAAGCAGATCCCACCGGTGGTAAGAGTAATTATTATTAGGTATCTAACATGGGCTAATGGAAGCTAGACCCTGAAAACTGGACAATGGATGAGATGCGAAGATGGCTTAAAGCGGTATGTTTGAGTGATTTGTTCGGACATGACTGTGTTCAGATAATCATACATTCTTGTGAATCGTACACTGACCGATTATCTCAGAGAGGGCTTCTACCGAGTGAGGCTGCGACGCGTGAGGAGCTGCTTGAAAGAGTCAAAGCAAACCTCCGCATACCGCGCAAGACATCGGCTAAGCCATAATCCCCCTGATAATAGGGGTAATATCATCATTTTCCTTCCCTTCTGGCGTCTGGCGCTCTAGTTTTGAAGCAAATCTCAAGCAGTGGATCGTTGGTTGCATCGTGTATCTCTCAGCAATTCATCTTTGGTGGGTGGGTATGACTCAGTTGTCTTTCACTTCTGTATCACATGCATAGTCTCTTGACTTGAAGCTGATTCATGATTCGTTGGAATAATTGTTCAAACCACAAGGCGGAAGTTCTGGCTTTCGATGAGCCAATCCTTGCGGCCCCTCGCCCTCTCTGCGGATGGATTGGGGACCAGCACAAATGTCTCACTGAATCCGCGTTGCGGCTGATCGCGACCCTCGCCATAGCGGACAAATCCACTGACTACAATGAGAAATGACATGTCTTTGACTCCCATCTCGGACTGTGGCTTCAGTCCACCACCCGGTAAAATGGTGGGGTATGCTTTGTTGATGATCTGGCAGTCGTATGATTGGACTTCGTAGTACGTTGGCGACATTTGATTGGTAAAGATTTCCTGCACAGCAGCGCCATCTGCGACACGATTCCCATTGAACAGGATGGTTGTAGGCTCGAGGGAGTAGTAGGAGCTGAGAGATTCACGGTTTGATCCCAAAGCCGGATAGAAGGTCTTAATGAACTCGGTTGCAGCTGAACACAAAAGCAAGCAAATGTCAGTTCAAGGCATGAAATTAACTTATAATTTGAGACTTACCCTCGGTCGACACTTTGGTCAGTGTATCCTCGCTTGCTGTAGCCATCGCGATCGGTATTTCACGCCAAAGAAAACCCGGGAATAATTGTGCGTGATACAAGAAGATGTAGAGGTATGCTTCAAACAATGTTTTAAATGAGAGAAATGAATAATATATACTTATCGACGATAAGGTCGTGGGTGTTCTCGATGACGATGTAAGCGCGATGATGTAGGCGCAAAAAAAAGGCCGTGACTTGCGGAGAAGCTTGGACCACCCGAGATGTGCGGAATAACATGCCATGCTCTTCTTGCCGTTATCAATATCCCAATGGCTGCAGCAAGGACGTCACTTCGCTCGTTATTCAGAGCGTCTCAGCTTCTGAGATCAAGAAATCCGTGGAACTGTATATCTTGCAAGCATGGATGGGCAACAACCCCCCGGCGCGGAGTTGCAACTACGCCGCAAAGGTCCAAGCCTTACTACGTAACAACGCCAATTTTCTACGTGAACGCCGGTGAGCACCGTAGTGAATACCATGTATAAACTGATTTTCTAACAATATGTTTTCCTTACAGCCCCTCACGTCGGCCATTTATACACAATGGTGATCGCCGATATCATGAAACGGTGGCAGGTCTTACTCGGGAACACGGATGCTCAACTATTGACCGGAACCGATGAGCATGGAATGAAGGTATTACATACAGATGGGATTGCAGTTCGATAATGGGCGTTGACATTCATCGCAGATCCAACAAGCTGCCATTCAAGCGGGCATGGATACCCAGGCATTTTGCGATATGAACTGCCGGACCTTTGAGGTACGAGTCCCCTTTGCTATATTCAAGAGTATCTCCAACTCAATTTGTGATATAGGCCCTAGCGAAGGCTGCAAACATCGACAACGATCATTTCATCAGGACCACCGACCCGGCGCATCGAGATGCCGTCCAATATTTCTGGGTAAGTTACTATGCTCCGTTCATAGTAGGGCACGCTGATAATTAGTAGGAAATGCTGCAACATCGGGGCTATATCTACACCTCGAAGCATGAAGGTTGGTACTCGGTCAGCGATGAGACATTCTACCCACAGACGCAAGTGCAGAACTCCCTGGATCCATCAACAGGGAGGAAGCGCATGGTATGTAATTTATCAGTTTTTCAAAGAGAAAGAATACTAACACCACACAGGTCTCAATAGAAACGGGTAAAGAGGTAGAGTGGTCCTCAGAAACCAACTACCACTTCCGTCTCTCAGCCTTCAAGGATCGTCTACTTGACTTGTACAAAAGAGAAGATCCGTTTATCACCCCTACCTCCTATACAGCTGCTGTGATCAACGGAGTTGAGTCGGGACTGCAGGATCTCTCGATTTCTCGGCCCGTGGAACGTCTGACTTGGGGCATCCGTGTTCCCGGCGATGACACGCAGACAATCTACGTGTGGCTAGATGCGCTGGTCAACTACTTGACCAAAGCTGGATATCCTTTCCCACCTGGAAAAGACAACACATCCGTATGGCCTGCAGACTTGCATGTAGTTGGCAAAGATATTGTTCGGTGAGTTCATGAGTTCAGCTGGAGAACCGGGTGCAGAGTTAATCGATTGGCAGGTTCCATTGTGTTTATTGGCCTGCTTTCCTCATGGCACTTGATCTTCCTCTGCCTCGGAACGTCTTGGTGCACGGACACTGGACGATGAATCGTGAAAAAATGTCCAAGTCCACAGGCAATGTTGTCAACCCATTTTTCGCCATTGAACGGTTTGGAGTCGATGGCATGCGATTCTTCCTAGCGTACCGGGGTGGCCTCGCCGATGATGCGGACTTTGACAATTCCTTCATCATCCGAGATTACAAGAAATTGCTTCAGGGGGGACTCGGAAACCTTGCTCTGCGTACAATCGGATGTGCGCGTGGCAATTTGCGCTCGTACATTATGGACGCCCGATCGGGTAAACTTCCAGCTGCTACCCCTGAGGACTTGGAACATCAGGAAATGTTGGCCCAGACGCCTCCCCAGGTTGCCGAGCTTATGGAGAATCTAAACCCACGTGCCGCGCTGCACGAAATTATGAGCATTATTGAGAAGGTAAGAGGTGATCATCCCCGCATGGATTCGGCGAGTATTGACCTGCTTGTAGACTAACAAGTACTTCCATGCGTCGGAACCGTGGAAAACTCCCAACCCTCAACGGATCATCTACAACGTGGCGGAATCGCTGCGGATCGCTGGCATTTTATTGCAACCGTTCATGCCCGGCAAGTCTCATGACCTTCTAGAATTGCTCCGTGTAAACACCTCGGACCCCTCCAAGCGGGCATTCGCGGCCACGGCGTACGGTTCGGATTCAGATTACGGCGAGGGCGTTAAGAAAGGCATTATTTTCCCTCCTTTGCTCACTGAGGAGTAATCCGCCTGTTTTTGAGCTTTCGATTTGATAAGAGGAATCGATCGGCGGCCAATCATGGGCGGCCGAGACGCCCGTCTGAATAAAGATATACATCTTCTCCGCTCGGATGCGGCAGACCAGATGAGGTTTTCCCCCCCTCCTCCACACCTCGAAAGCTGAGACGCCAGGTTTCCCACGCCCGGCCATTCTAAACAGACGGTATGTCATGGTCGTCATGAACGACCCACATGGCTATCGACGGGAAAGGCTGGGCCAGAACCGGATACTCCGATCAGTCCTATCAGACGGGAAACTCTAGTTTCCCGTCGGAAAGCTTTTGTACTGGCCCTTGAGGCTCACTTGTATATCAAAACATGTCTTCATATCTTCATATCTGCATATTGGAGTTTGGAAGTTTCAGTATTTATCGCTCTTCTTTTCTTCCCGATATCTCCCTATCTCTATTTTCGTGAATTTACAACCTACCGTCGTGTAACCACTCGACTCAACAATATACTATTTGGGGAACATCATCTCTATACTTCTGGTCTTGGAATTGCTCCGGTAACCTTTTTTTTTCTTTTTCCATTTGTTCAACACATCAAAATGGGGAGCATCGACATTTCCGCCTATGGTCAGCTGCAGTTCAAGACGCCATGGATTGAGACACCACTGGTCGAGTCTGCATGCCTTTCTCGAGCAGCTGGTTGTAGGATCTTCTTAAAGTTAGAGAACGTGCAGCCAAGTGGCTCCTTCAAGTCCCGTGCTATGGGCAACCAAATCCTTTCTCACCTTCGCAACCCAGAGAACGTGGGCCGCAGAGTCCATTTCTACGCCTCGTCCGGAGGAAACGCCGGACTGGCAGCCGTCTGTGCAGCCCGGAGCCTGGGCTACCCATGCACTGTCGTGGTTCCCATGGGCACAAATCCCTTGATGCTTGACAAGATCCGGGCGGCAGGTGCAGCAGACGTCATCCGGCATGGCGAGACATTTTCAGAAGCAGGAGAATACATGCGGGAAACTATCATGAAGACAAGCAGCGGGAATGACCAGGATGTGATCAAAATCGCCCTCCACCCCTTCGACAACCAGCCTATCTGGGAAGGAAACGGCACCATCATCGACGAGCTCGAGACCCAGCTTCCTCCCGCCACCACCCCCGAAGACAAAAAAGCCTACAATGACCGGGCCCTCCCTTTAGACGCCATCCTCTGCAGCGTCGGCGGTGGCGGCCTTCTCAATGGACTCGTCATGGGCATCGAAAAGCGACGACAGAAGAAGCAAATTACCTCATATTCCTCACCCACACCAAACCCCATTCATCTCCTCGCCATTGAAACGGCCGGCACCGATTCACTGGCAGCAGCCATCGCCAATAAATCCCTCATCTCCCTCCCAAGGATCACATCCCAGGCCACTTCTCTCGGTGCTGTCCGCGTCTCGGAAACAACTTTCCAGTACGCCGTGTCCCCGCCCCCAGGCATCAAGGTGCACAGCGCCGTGCTCTCAGATGCAGACGCCGCCCGCGGCGTGCTCCGCCTCGCCAACGATGAACGACTCCTCGTCGAGCTTGCGTGCGGTGTCTGTATCGAAGCGGCCATCGGCGATGCTGCTACTGCTGTTCCTACATCGAAGTGGAAGAGGGGCTTGGATGAGACTGATATTACTTACCGCGATGAGGGCTATGGGGATGACCGGTCGACCTCGACGGACAATGAGACAGACCAGGAGGTTGAGCCAGAAGTCGGCGAGAAACTGAATTCGAAGCTTAAGCAACTTGTTCCTGATCTCAACTCGCAGAGTAGAATTGTCATCATTGTCTGCGGCGGTAGCAACGTCACTATCGATATGGCTAGTGAATGGCGCAAGATGTTGGATGAGGGATGGGCTTGAATTTCGATGATGGATATATTTCATTTTTCGATACTTTTTTTGACTTGTTTTTTGGCGTTTGATTTGCAGCACTACACTTGGACATTTTAATTACCGTCTAGATAAAGGTCTAGACTTTCGCATCGTTCATGTAATCATACAGTGTATCCAGCAGTCTTTTAATTCGAAGCAGAATCAGCTTTAGACGTACGATTTTTCAATGAAAGGTACATAAACAGATATAAATTATCCGACAAAAGTTGTTCAGCACAAGGCGTAGTGTCTTTCTTCAAATCAAACCACAGCCTGATCCAGCTTCCTAATGCGATAGTCCCAATAATTCTTCCGAATAGGATCAAACTCTTCTTTCAACATCGTCAACATCCTCACAGCCTTTTCCTCCCCCCCAGCCTCAGCAAAAACATCCGCCAGCCACTCAACAGCATGCGAACTCTTAACGGCCCCCTCCGAAACAAATCCACCAGCAAACCCCTCCCACTCCCCTAATCCACGCCCAGCAGCCCGCAGCACACCGCGCGCATACCACCACGGACTCCGGTTCTCCGGGGCGCGCAGGATAGCCTCCTGCGCAAACTTCAGCTCGCCATCAACCAAGTCCTCATCGACAATAGACAGCCTGCCCTTATCGGCCGGCGCAGTCGAAAGCTCACCCGCGTTCACCATCCCCGCGTCTGGGACCGATGTGTCCCGTGGTCCGAAACGGAGCATGTACCGGTGGTTCCAGGCGGAGTTGTTGCGCACGTCAGCTTTCAAGAGGAATTCCACGTCTTCGAGTTCGCGCGGTTGGTCCCATAGTCCGAAGTGCCGCACGAGCCAGTGACGGTAGGTCCATACGTGGTAGTTTTTGGAGTCTTGGGCGAACATCTCCATTAGGAAGTCTGCTTCTTTGGGTGGGAAGGTTGGGAAGTGTGCTTTTGATGATAGCAGAACTTGGCGGTGGTGCCTGTTTGAGTTGTTAGGTTTGTTTTTGGTAATTATATTTTCCTGGCTTTTTCTTTCGGCTCCTCTGTTGTTGGTGGTGTCGACATACCAAATTTGATAATTTTTGAGGTACTTCAATGAAACATCGTTCAACCAGCTCAATTCTTCATCTAGATCCTTTTCCAAAGCAAAGAGAATCTTTGCTCGGTAGATCCTGTATAGAATGTCAGACGTCGATATTGGCATGTCCCAAGGCTGTTACTAGCCAACTTACCATACGGTGTAATGCGCTGGATTCATCGAAATCACATCTTTAGTCAAGTTCAATGCCCGCTCAGACATCTCGTTCGCGGCCATCACAGCACGCAAATACGAGGTCGCCTCGAGGTACTCGGTTGGGTAGGCGATGGTCGCCAGTGGCATGGCACCCGAGCTCGAACCATCGTCCAGGTCAATTGGGGTGACAGATGCCCACTCGGGATCGGTCGAATATTTTCCCTCCATGATTTGTTGGAGATTGCAGTGAGAAACTTTCTGAGTGGAAGAATAATTGTTGGGATGCAATCAAATAGTGGGGGTACAGGGGCCAGATGCACAGGATGAGTCCGGGTTAGGTCTCCAGACTTAAGGCTCTGCGCTGCCGAGAGCTAAGGGTGCAATCTCGATCAATCAAGCTGTTGAAAAGATAATAGTCCAAATAAAAGACCGAACGCGAAATGCAACGAATATAAAACATGAAGTGGAGGTGGGGCGGATGTGTCTGCCTCAGGCGCAAACAAAGAAACCGAACAATATCAAGGCAACCCGCTTCTCCTCCTATTCTTCTCTGTTCTCCTAGGGTCTTGAATGGCAGATTTATTTGCATTATTATTGGTAATTCCACAGTCTTTTCTGCTCCTCAATCCACCATTTCCCCACTTTCTCCGCGTCTACCAGCCACTTCCCGGCTTTGTCTCCATGCTTCCTTTGTACACGGCCGATCAACTCCCCAAGGGACCACCCACGCAATGGACTTAACTCATCCGGGTCGGTATCTAGATCAGAAAAAATGTACTCAAAGTCCTCAGCAAGCGGCAATATGAGTCGATACGGGACTGCCGCAGACCCAACACTGAGCATTGTACCACCGGGGTTGACAATGCCGAAGTTCCATGCCTGTCGGCCATTGTGAGTAGCTTGGTATGGGCGTATCAATGACTGTCCTTCGTATTCATTTATTAGGTCTAAAGCCGCATTGGAATCCATCTCGTTCAACGAGCCCGAGTGCACGAGTAGATCGATAATGGTCGGGACGACGGACATCGAGGTTGCATTCGCAGTGATTTGCAATGCGGGCAACAGCGGGTGTCGGAAAACGAGTGGAATTCGGAAATTGCTGATATGTCCGTTCTCGTATGTACCAGAGACTGGCGCATCTTCGGGGAACGCCTGGCCACTGTTTGGGATTAGTACATGGCTATTTGGTTGTTGTGCGAAGTTACTGAAGCTGGCGCAACATACTGATCTCCCACGAATACCACTAATGTCTCGTTTGCAATCCCGGCTTCGTCGAGGACCTTCATCATATCGCCAAGCCATGTGTCCACGTATCGGACCGTATTCAGATATTTGTTGATGTCCTCGTGCTTCGCCATGAGACTGTCTCCGGCAAAGTATTCCTCTTCGTGGTATGCTGTGGGCGTGCCCCATGGGTGATGGGTTGTGCTCGTGAAATGAGATAGAAAAAGTCGTTCGTTGTTCTCGATTGTATTGTTCACCACATCTCGCAGGTATGGGTATATCTCGTACTCCGGGTATCTAGGTAACGTATTAGCAATGTGAATGTAGATGCTCAGTCGGTGGGAGAATACTTACCCAAAGTAATTGATCTCCTCCATGTCTTCGTGATAATATTTGGCACTTTGCTGGCCAATATCTTCGCGATAGATGTATTTTTGGAACCCCATCTGCTTGTTGAGCTCATCTTGCTCGTCATACAGTCCTGTGATCGACTGCAAGAAAACAGTGCTCCAGTTTCGATCATGAATGTGCTCAAACCCATTTCGAGGCTTGCCCTTCTCAGTCGAGTTCTTTTTAAGTTGGTTGAACAATTCAAAAATCTGCATAATGCACGGCTGGTAGTTTTTGGCGTTGACCTCCTCCATGAAGTTCACCGGCAGAGGGCCCGCGCCGCAGTAGTTCATGACTGCACTTTTGAACGATAGACTGCTACCAGTGAGGACACCGTTAACATTGATACCGCCCATTCCTGGTTCCGTCGTACCATTCCATCCACTAGAGGGGCTGGAAATGTTGTTACTTGTCGAAAGTCCACTCGTCTCACCGGTCAACTTCTCTGCGTTTGGTGTCAAAGTTGATAATTTGTCGTTGACCTCTTGGAGTACTTCGGGGTCTTGGGTATTATAGGACGATAGAATCATCTCGTGCAGATGTGAGCCTGCCTTGAAGGGAAATATGTCCTTCCGAGCACTTTCCATCAACACAAGTACGACATGTGTAATGGGAACTTGATGTTTCTTGAGAACCTGAGCTATGGGCTCAAGCATTTCACGATTGAGGTTGGTGATTCGGAGAGGGTCATCCGTGGGACGATAAATATTCTTCTGAGAAGCCCCGTTCTCATTAAGAGTAACGCCCCCTCCTTCATCGCCGGACTCTGCTTCACTCCACCGGTCGAACCCTGGTGGTAAATCCCCAGACGCCCATACGGGTCGACTCTTTTTCGCGTTGGAGTCTGGCTTTCCTGGGGCCCAACCCTTGAAGTGATCGTATGGACCTTCCCAGTATGGCTCATCAATCAGGTCTGCGAGCGGAAATGATTGATCTCCAGTCTGATGCAGCTCAGCAGGCCTCGAACCCAAAGCCCAGAAAAAGCTGAATGGGATAGTCTCAGACATATGGTTATAAGGCACCTGGGGCCGAGCCAAGCGCAAGAATCCAATGAATACCGCGGCGCATACTGTCCAAAATTGAATGAGTCGTGCTGTCCGCGACTTTCTTTGAGGGCTGGTCACGATGCCTTCTTCGTCTGCCTTTTCAGTTTGTGCGCTAAATAGTGCAGACATCCAATGGCCTATGAGAACATATATCCAATATTTGAGTAGCCATGAAATCACAAGAAGGGCGCATGCGGCTCCCAAAAAGGATCTCAGCCCGCTCAGCATCAGCTTTCTCCCTTCTGGATCAGTTCCAACGGCTGTGGCTGCATCCCAACGGATCTCACTGCCAGTTACAAGATAGAACCCAATTTGAGATGAAGACAAGACGAAGCTCAGAGCCCTGTAGCAGTCAGTATATCAGTCTCATTGAATTCTACCTAGAAGCAGAGAAGTACTTACGTTATGGCCACTGTCACTGCAGTGCCCAAAAGTGACTTCAACCCCGTAAATTTGAATAGCAACTCCCACGCAGCCACGCATAAAAGTATCTCAAGGATGAAGAATGTCGGGAAGTAGATTGCGAATTGACCGCCGGGAAGAGAAAATGCATGTTGGAGAAGATGAAGCACTTTAGAGGATATCACTGAGACAACCAGTAGCGAGACAATGAAGGGCCTGATAGAAGATTGGCGTGGGATAATCATGATGAATGAGATAGAGCTGGGAAGACCAAAATTCACATTGTTGCCTCCAGTTCACCTTTCTTGAATCCACGTTCAGTTCTATCAGACAGCACTTATAGTAATGATGGTCGAACTATGATTTTGAATTGTGCGTTTAGTGTTAGCAAGGCCTGTTACTGATCCAGATGAGAAAGAGCAACTTCATCTCTGTAACAGATGCGGCATTCTGGTCATTGTTTCACTATCTGAAACCGGCTTGATGTTCAATTGTTTGTTTATGTACACTTCAACAACACCCGATTAAGAAAGGTATGTGGCCTCTGCCCGAATAGGAAAGGGGTCAGGCGAGCTACCAAGGGGTGAAAGGGTGAAAGGGCAGGTGCTCATTTACTGCTTTGGGACGGAATTCCAAATCGTTCATTGGAATGTAGGGTGGCCAATTTCTATTGCGAAATAATAATTCGACGCTTTTGTCTGCGGAGACTGGCTCCCCCGTAGCTCAATACTGTATCATATTACTATTATGTGCGTATTCGTGAATATATACAAACTCGGTTTGGCTTCACGCAAATGTCTCCCCGCCATTGTTTAAGTATTCGATTTCCTCCGGGGTAGACACTCTTCCCAGTGCCTGATTCCGATGCGGGTATCGTCCAAACCGCTCGATGATCACTTTATGTCTCTTCTCAAAATCAAGAGCATTGCTCAAGAATGCCTGTAGTGCCTCTCTCTTCTCGGATAGAATGCTACGACATTTTCTTTCCTCTTCCGTAAGAGCCGATGCGTCCCTGGCCAGAAGCTCATTGACATCTCTGGCTATATCCTCGTGCACCTTGACGGCTAGCTCATGCATAGCCAAGTTTTCCGAATGCATAAGGGGCATATGGAACCAAATACGGTAAGCCATGTGGTACCTGAGATACGGCGATCGGATCGGTACCTCTTCCTCAATTGCTCGAAGGACAATCTCCTCGGCTAATGGGTCAAAGCGCCCAAACACTAGCTTCGACTCTGCTCCCCGGTAGCAATTGCGGGGAATCTGATCAAGTAGAAGAATGATGCTGAGCCAATCCATCGGCGAGGACAGGCTGACTTCAGATAGAATGTCCGAAGCTGATGCTCTGGAGCCAACGATTGTTTCTAGGGCAGGGCAGAATTGGGTGCTGTTTGAGCTCGTTAATCTTCTATGGGGTTCAAGTAAGGCAAATGGTCACTTACACGCAGGCCTTATCAAAAGCCTCGTCACGAGAGAACCACTTCCCCATCTCGCTCCATCCGGGTAGGATGAGGGCCTCTTCGCAGCTCAGGTGATTGAACCACAACTTGTGCACGTCATCAAGGAGGCTTGGTGTCAAAGTCTGCTTGAGTTCGGAGTTGCTTGACATTGTGATGGGAGTTGAGTGAAATTCGCGAGCATAGTTACTTCTGCAGGAATTACTCTGCAATTGAGGCCTTCCAGTGGGATTTTTATGGAGACTCGGGGTTGATATCAGGCCGTTAGCCAGGATCACCACTGGTTTGAAAGTCGCAAGTCTTTGAAAAGGTACTGTGGTTACCTATATTAATGTTAGACTTCTTGAATGCTCGTTTGGACTTATACTTACCTTGCTGCGCACTATATATGCCATGATCGAGTCTTGTCCAGGTGTAGATATCAATTGCCAAGCACCAAGCCCCCGACCTCAACCGCCGTGGCTGAGTCATCATGAATTTTCCCACCCCTTGGAAGGTCAAAACAATAGTAAAGAGTATAGACGTTTGTTTTATGATTTTACTACTCCGTACACTTGTACTATGTAGATGCCTGGCGTAGTCTTCCATATGGTATACAGTCATCAAATCAGACATCGTCATTTCTCTTGTTTCACCTGCCCAAAGGGGCAAAAGAATCCCGTTTATCGAGATAAGCCCCGATTCTCAACGATTTTCCCCCTCAGCCTATACTCCGCATCTTGAATGTTGCCGGATCTCCTCAGATTCATCCTCTTTATGCTTTATAATGCGCCGCGTTAAGAAATCTAGAAATGGCTGTGCAAGATGCAAGAGTAAACGGGTTTGTGTTTCCCGTCCCCGCCCGTTCGGATATCACTAACATGCAAAGGTCAAATGCGGCGAAGAGAAACCTCACTGCACTCGCTGCACTCGCTTGGGCGTCCGGTGTCCTGGTTATGCACAATCCCTGCGCTGGGTTACCAAGTATGAGCAGTCTAGTCCCACCGTACCCGCATCGATCTCGGAGGTGAGAACACCAAGTCCTGCGGCTTCTGTCTCGACTGGTCCTAGCCAGCCGGCAAACCAAATCGACGACCCTTTGCCGGAGGATTCAACATTTGAGACGCATGAACCGGATCCTCCAAGTTTCGTCTTAGATAGCCGAACTTCTCTATGTGACAATCTATGGGAACATCCGAGCCATGGGTCTTTACCCGAACTGACGGATCTATGCTCACCGTCCCCGATGCCGGCATCGCCGTCTTTCACACACCAAAGAGACACTTTCCGTGACTTTGAAGTGTCAGAAAATATCGGTGTAGACCTGTCACACTTTCTGTCGCGTATTGGGCCAACGCAAAGTGAGGAACAGAATGATGTTTACCGCGACTTCTCACCTTCGACCATTGTGCGCAGTTATCCTCCTGCATCGCATCGCCCCTCATCACATAACTTCATGTCCATATCTCGTCCACTGAATAATCCATCATGGACTTTGATCGAGTACTATTTCAAAGAAGTGGCAGGACTGTTCTCTAGTTACGACAGCCAGATGAACCCCTTCCGAACCACGGTATCCCGTCTTTGGGGATCTTCACTGGCAATGTGTCGAACAATGCAAAGCATGGCTGCTGCAACACTGGTCACCGAATTTCCTCAGTTCGGTCCCATGGGCCGAAGGATGCGTGATGAAGCTGTTGATATAATCACGCGCGAAGCAGTGATAGACGACAAGTCTTTGCTGGCGCTGCTAATGCTCGGACAAACGGCTAGTTGGCACGACCCAAATGACTTGGGTATATCATTTTTCAACCTGCTCCGCAAGCAGCTCAATACCATCTCTTCACCATCGAACGGCTCCAGCTTCAGCTTACCTAAGAACGACAGCAATAATTACCGGTTCTTCGAGGAAGCTCTCATCTACTGGGAGATGCTGCTTTCCTTCGTCGCAGACAATGACACGATGGTCCTATCTAACAATTCACGGACCGCTTCGTCTATTGGCGAGTCCTTCGTTCTACAACGGGTCCCGCACCCATGGACCGGCATCGCGCGCGACATCCAGTTCACCGTGCACGAGGTCGGGCAACTCATCCGCCGTGAGCGAAAACGCATCCGCTCAAGGCGATTCACCTCCCAAGATGATATCACCCGTGCCCAGTTGGCAATCGAGAAAGCCCGCAAGCTAGAAGAACGCCTCCTAGGCCTCGCTCATCCCTCGGAGGCCGAGATTGTCAGTCCTGGTGACGACGATACCCCAGTATGGCACCTCCTGACAATGGCCGAAGCATATCGATGCGTCGGTCTCATGCAGTTATACCGCGTATTCCCAGACCTACTGCACAAACGCCTGCCCACCCCAATATCCACAACATCCCAATACCCTGACAACGCCGATGCAGCATCCCGCGACCCATTCTTCCCCATTGACCTCGACAGCATGGACCTGTCAGCTAGATTCGGGGGTCCTAGTCCAGCAACAGGACAAAACACCAAGTCTCAACGTACCGCTGCTTCGCCGTCTCGAAGATCTTCCTCTCACAATCTACCATCTCCGTCATCACCAGATACCCAACAATCTCCGACCCCCGAAATCCTATATAGCAACTGGCTCACCGAGTTCGCCGTGACAACCCTCTCCCGATTAAAAACCATACCCCTGGAATCACGTACCCGCTGCCTCCAGCCATTTCTCCTGGTGGCGTCCTGCTCAGAGCTCCGTCTCCCGCGTCTGGCCACAAATGCTGGCACTCAAGCCCGGAATGGCGAAGATTATCCAGAGGGCAGGGATAAAGATAGTCACAACCCGAATCAGGCACCTACCATCTCAATGGAGGCCATTGAAGTCTCGCGCACGCGCAAGTTCATCCTTGGCCGTTTGACCTCCTTCTTGCACGTTCTGCCGCCAAAACCGATTCATATATGCTTGAAGTTGGTTAATGAAGTATGGAGGAGGTTGGATGCTGGGGACGATGATACCTATTGGGTTGATGTTATGATTGAGAAAGGTTGGGAGACAACCATGGGATGAGGTATTGCCAAATTGGGCTTTGGAGCTCCCAGTCCAATGATGTGAAATCCGTGTTCATATTTGCAGCCAGAGTAGTTGTTGGTTCCATTTATGAGGACTCTGTCATACTCTGCTGGATGTTATGTTAGGCTTGTAAATGTATGTCTCGAATTAGCAATAGCAGTCGTTTTATTTCAAGTGCCGGTCATGGATTAGAGGTAGAAAAGACAGTGTTGGATCAGATGCAGTACCTTACATTTAAAGGAGCAGTCTCAGGTACGTCGAGTATCTCCTTGTAGAGAAAGACACAAGGAGAGCCTGGATCAAAGAAAATCAAAGAAACAATTAAGAGTGATCATGAAATTCACACGCCTACAAGCACCGAACTAAATCAAAACCCAATACCAGTATTCCTCTTTTTTTCTTTTTTTTTCTCATCTCCAGAACCAACCCCCGATATCGAGTATACAAATGCCCACGCAAAAGATCCAAGTTCAAAAACAATTGCTTCAAGTGCCCCGAGTGTATCCCTCCCACCACTTCGAGAACATGCCTCCCTTAGCAGCCTGTTCATTCCAGCTCGCGCGGCGGATAGCCATGTCCGCGTTTGTAGATTCACGCTTCTGTGTGTGCAGATTCGAGAAGAGGCCGTTGGAGCCGGCCGAGCTGCGGCGACGCTCACCTAAGCCTGGGGGGTTAGGTGTATCTCCTTCGGCTGGTTTTCCGTTCGAGGTGGATGTGGATGTGTCGGAGTCCTTCATTTTGGATGTTAGGTTGGTTTTGGAGATGTGTTATATAGATGGATAGATGATGTAGTGCTAAGGGGAATGGACGATATATAATAGAAATCCACAAGAGGCAAATGACATACCCTCCTATTGTTCGTTATAGGCATCGCCCACGCAGCACGACCGGTAGGGCTCTTGGCACCGCCACTCATCCAGACATTAGAGTGCTCGAGACGGTCACCGGGGCTTCCGTGCCAGTTGCGGCGGGTGTCGTCAGACATGTTGGAGATGTCTAGACAGCTGGTATAGTCCGTAATGGTTTGTAGTTCTTCTGGGGGAATTTAGTATAGTAAGAGTGAGAGCATGGGATTCTAAAGAAACCAAGGAAATACTAATCATGATGTCTCTTAAGGGTTGGGAATCGACGACGTCATTCTTGTTCAGGTTGCCCTTTGGGGATAGATGGGATATAGAATAGGTGAAAATTAAAATGGAACATACCTCAATATTTTCGCAGATTAGCTTGAATTAATTAAACTGAGTAGGAAGAGATAATCCAAGGCCAGAGGGGGAAGATGGCCTATAAGAGCATACTCAGCTTACTACGTTAGAGGTGGTGAATCACCGTCTGCTGATTGAATTTGGACTGGTCTAGTTCCGTTACCAAGGTCAAGACTGGTACTTATTATATCCAGTACCTGTACTATTGGGTATGGCCATGCACTACAGGTATTTCACTACGCCATGTACTGTGCTTTGTAATAGACTGATAAGCTATGATGTACCCCGGAGAGCCTTGACGTAGTTGGAATGCGGGGAAAGCTTGGCATATAGTTTGAAAGATATCAAGGTCGAAGCTACCTATATTTAGGGTATCCGGTATATCCTCCGTGGCGTCTATACTTGCACCTCATAACTACGTATGTAACTATGTACCTGTAGGTATCACACCAACCTCTCATCAGCATCTCTCAAACCCTTCCAAACCCTAACACCCTCCTCCCAATCCGCATCCTCCACAATCTTAACACTCCCATCCCCCCTCAACGTCCTAACGCCCTTGGTCCCAGAAACCCCCCATCCGAATTCTTTCTCCCCACAAGCAAACCTTTCTAGCGGCCCAACAAACCCTTCCCTGACAACCCTCTTCTCCTCCTCCTCCAACAACCCACCATTCCCAAAGAACCAAATCGGATAATCCGACGAATGCGTAACCCCCCACTCAACCGGCAAAGTCTTCTCTACACACTTCGCCCGCCACTCAATCCGATACCGAAACAGCAACGCCGAAGCATCAACCCCGGCCTCATTCGCCGTCAGCGCATACACAAGCCCACGCTGCATCTGATGCACCTGCATATCAGCGTAGATCCTCCCCCACGCGTCCTGGTCCCAGTTCTTGCAGTTCGTCGGTAGACAGCCGTCCGGGTAATATATCGGGATGACGGCGTCGACGATGTGTTCGGGGTAATCTGCCACGAGACGGGTGCGCAGCGCGGAGAGCGTGTTGTCTGTCGGCGGGAACCATGTGCTGTAAAGGAAGCGCTCGTCGCGACATTCACCTATTATGATGCGGATGTTGCGGGCTAGGAGGCTGCGGGCGAAGGCGCCGTTGTCGAGGGTCGTGAAGAGGGACGGGGAGATGAAGGATGTGTCTGTTGTTGGGCGGAATTGGTGGAGCTGGATTGTTCTTGCTTTGTCGAGGAGGATTTTTGCGGGGATTGAGCGTAGGCGGGTAAGTTTCTCGCTATGTGGCAGAGTGAGGGGGATGTCCAGGGCTGTTAGGAGTTGGTTGAATTGGGTTTGTGTTTCGGTTGGCTGCTTTGGCTGGACGGCTGGGCTGTTTGACCAGATGCAGGCTTGGCGGATGAGAGAATTCTCGTCTGGTTGGCGGAGGTCATAGGCTAGTTGGTGGAAGACGGAGTTGGCGCCTGCGGAATATCCTGAGATCGTGATGAGATCCGGATTGCCGCCGAAGAGCTGGATATTCTCCTTCGTCCACTCTAATGCTAATCTCTGATCCCAGAATCCGTGGTTCCCAACTGTCTCTCCGACAGTAGCTGCATCCTCCTCCAATTCTGCTGAGTAGAGGAATCCGAATAAGTTGACCCGGTACGCAGGCATCACAACCACACAGTCGAAGTCGGCCTCGCCGATCAATGCAGCCACATTGAATGAATTAGGCGAGCCGAATTGAAGCCATCCGCCATCTGCGTCGGACAACACCAGTCAGCACGATCTTTATAGAAGCCTGTTGCCCTATTCCAAGTCTGAAACTATATATCCTATGTCTGATCAGAAGATACTCACGAATAAAAACAAAAACAGGCCATCCCCCCTCAGGCGCCTCTCCAATGGGCGTCCAAACATTACACTGAAAGCAATCCTCGTTCCACGCATCCGGATTCTCAGGCGAGATATTCAAAAAACCTGGTTGAGGACAAAGCCCTGCACCCCCATCACATTGGCCTGGCGCTTCTTCGCTGCCGTAGGTGAAAGATGCGGGTAGGGGCTGGGCACGGCGCCAGCGCTCGGCGGGGGCAAGGCCGTAGCGGACACCGCCGAAGTAGCGGCAGAGGTCTTTGGCTTGGCTGGGAGAAGACAATGTCGAAATTGTTACGCCTTGGATTATGCCGCGATGAGCGAGGGATTTGATATAAGTACGGCGGATGGTTTCCATCTTGGATTTCGATTATGTTCTGTTGATGGTTGATTTGGGGTAGTTGGGGTATAGATGTGGATGTGCCGACGTTCTTATAGTGGGGAGAAATTGACCCGCACGATGGCCGGGGTATTGATTTCCTAGATAGATAGATAAGTACTTATGACCGTACAGGTGGCTAGAACAGTGCTCTGAGTGCTCTATCCTGCTGCCTATTATATCCAGCACAGAGAAACAAGAAGATTTATACCAAAGAAATGTATAGTTATCAACCTGAGCCGTAAATTGACGGATTTTTCAAAGCCGTTCTCGGGAGAAAGACGGGAGAATGGGGAGAAGCGTGGGAATAGACCTACAAGTGAATGTACTAAGAACTTTCAAATGGTTGAACAGAAATACTGTTTGATTCCGAATAAACCTAAATTCAGATATGAACTCGAAAAACATAAACTAAAGACGCTGAGAAAACATTCAAATCACACCACGCATCACAAATTGTGCATGGTTCGTAGTACAGAGTCGCTATGCTTTTACGCCTTGCTGATCTTGCAGATCAGGTCCTGGCCATCAACGGAGTCGCCCTCCTTGACCTGGAGGTTGGACACCTTTCCGCTGTGCGGGGCGGAGATTACCATTTCCTAGAGGGGAGTTAGCAACAAATTATATGTAATAGAAAAGAAATAACAACATACCATCTTCATGGCGCTCAGCACCGCAATAGGATCACCCTTCTTGGCCTCGTGGCCATCGGTGATGCGGATCTCAACCACGACACCGCTCATGGGAGCGCCAACCTGGCTGCTATCCGTGGGGTCGGCCTTGGCGCGGGCGAGGTTCTCGATCGAGGCGTTGTTGTCATCAACACTGACCTGGCGGACTTCACCGTTGACCTCGTAGAAGACCTCACGCTGGCCAGTCTGCTCGGAGAGAGGACCAATGGCGAGCAACTTGAGGATCAGGACTTTACCTTGCTCTAGCTCGACATGGAACTCCTCGCCGATCTCGGGCTTGGCAAGGAAGTAGCGCGTCGGCAGAACGGACAGATCACCATACTTGGCCACGAACTTGCGGTAATCCTCAAACACCTTGGGGTACATGGCGTAACTGGCGACATCGCACTCGGTGGCCGCGCCGTACTTCTCGCGGATATCGTTCTTGATCTTGATGAGGTCGATGGGTTCCAAGTAGAGACCGGGGCGCTTGTCGAGCTTGCGACGGCCGCGCAAGGCCTTGGTACGCAGGGGCTCGGGGAAGCCGCCGTAAGGCTGGCCCATCAGACCTTCGAAGAACTCCAAGACTGATTCAGGGAAGTCAAGTTGATCAGCACGGTCGAGCACATCCTGGGCGGACAGCTTGTTGCTGACGATCCAGGAGGCGAAGTCACCACAGACCTTGGAGGAGGGGGTAACCTTGACGATGTCGCCCAGCAACTCGTTAGCAACCTCATACGCCTTCTTGGTCTCAGCCCACTGCTGTCCGAGACCCAACTGGCTGGCCTGGAAGATCAGGTTGGTCAACTGACCACCGGGGATCTCGTGCTCATAGACCTCGGGGTCAGGGCCGGTCAGACCGGCCTCGAAGGGAGAGTAGAGCAGACGAAGCTGAGCCCAGTAGCTGTCCAGAGCGCGGACGTGGGACAAATCCAACTTGGGGTCGTACTGGGTACCCTGCAGCGAAGCAAGAAGAGCACCAATGCTGGGCTGCGAGGTCATACCAGACAGACTGTCGGTAGCGGCATCCACGGCATCAGCACCGGCCTCGGCACAGGCAATCATGGAGGCGACACCGGTTCCGGCAGAGTCGTGGGTGTGGACGTGGATGGGGAGATCGGGGTAGCGCTCGCGGATGGAACCGATCAGCAGACGGGCGGCCTGGGGCTTAAGCACACCAGCCATATCCTTGATTCCAAGAACGTGAGGACCCATCTTGACGATCTTGTCCACCAAATCCAGGTAGTACTTCAAGCTGTACTTCTTCTTGGGGTTCAGCATGTCACCACTGTAACACATGGTGGCCTCAACGACACCACCGGCTTCGTGGACGGCCTTAATACCGACCTCGAGCTGGTCAATATCGTTCAGGGCATCGAAGACACGGAAGATATCGACACCATACTTCTTCGCCTGCTTACAGAAGTGGTAGATAGCGTTATCAGGAAGGGAAGAGTAGGCAACACCGTTGGCGCCACGCAGCAACATCTGGAAGGGGATGTTGGGGACGGCCTTGCGCATCTTGCGAAGTCTGTCCCAAGGATCTTCATAGAGGAAGCGCATAGCCACATCGAAGGTGGCTCCACCCCAGCACTCGAGCGAGTAAGCGTTGCTCAATGCGTAGCTGGTCTCAGCAGCGATGTTCAGCATATCAATTGTTCGCACACGGGTGGCAAGCAACGACTGGTGGGCATCACGCCAGGTGGTGTCCATGATCAAGCAGCCCTTGTTAGCGCGCACGGCGCGAGCGAAGCCCGCAGGGCCTTCCTTGTCCAAGATCTGCTTCCAGCCCTCAGTGCAGGGGGTGGAGATGTCAATGGGCTTGCCCGCAGCATCCGTGAGAACGGGCCTGATGATCTCGCCCTTGAATTTGGGCTCACCGATCTGGCCCTTGATGCTGCTACCGTTGACAGCAACGTCACCCAAGTAAGCGAGCAGCTTCTGGGCACGGTTCTGGCTGCCAACGAGGGTAAACAGCTCGGGGGTGTCATCGATGAACGTAGTCCAGCAAGTACCATCGATGAATGTGGGGTGACTCAGCAGCGAAGCCAGGAAAGGAATGTTGGTCTTGACACCGCGGATACGGAACTCAACCAAAGCACGCAGCATCTTGCGGCGGACAATCTCGTAGGTTGAGCCACGGCAAGTGCACTTGACCAGCATAGAGTCGTAGTGAGGGCTAATAATGGCACCAGCGAAGCCGTTACCACCGTCCAAACGGACTCCATTACCACCAGCAGAGCGGTAAACCTCGATCTTACCGGTGTCGGGGGAGAAGCCCTTGGCGGGGTCCTCAGTAGTGATACGGCACTGAATGGCGAAACCACGGGTAGAGATGCGGTCCTGGGTAAGTCCAAGTTGTTCAAGGGTTGCACCCGCAGCAATTTGGATCTGCGCGGCCACAAGATCGATACCGGTGATTTCCTCGGTAATAGTGTGCTCGACTTGAATTCTGGGGTTGATCTCGATGAAGTAGTGCTCATTGCCACAGACAAGGAACTCAGCGGTACCAGCGTTGCGGTACCGAACTGACTTGGCCAGTTTCACGGCATCAGACAAGATTCTATCACGAACATCGGTCGGAAGGTCCTTGGCAGGAGCAATCTCAACGACCTTCTGGTGGCGACGCTGGACGGAGCAATCACGCTCGAAGAGGTGGACAACATTGCCCTGGTTATCACCGAGAAGCTGAACCTCGATGTGCTTAGGCTGGTCAAGGAAACGCTCGACGAAGACGGTACCGTTACCGAAGGCGGTGCGGGCCTCGGAGGTAGCACGCTCGAAAGCGTCACTCAGCTCGGACTGATCACGAACAACACGCATACCACGACCACCACCACCAAAGGCAGCCTTAATGATGATGGGGAAGCCAAATTTATCAGTGAAGGTCTTGACCTCTTCAAAGCGCTCAACGGGACCAGGGGTTCCCGGGACAACGGGGACATTGCACTTGATAGCGGCGCTGCGGGCAGAAACCTTGTCGCCAAGGGCATCAATCGTTTCGGCGGTAGGGCCGACGAACACAATGCCAGCTTTCTCGACGCTCCGGGCAAAGTCTGCGTTCTCTGAAAGGAAACCGTAACCGGGGTGGATCAGCTGGACGCCGTGCTCCAGGGCGATCTTGATGATCTCATCGCCGGCCAGATAAGCCCCCACGGGGGTATATTGGCCTCGGTGGCCGATCATGTAAGCCTCATCGGCCTTTTGGCGATGCATTGAGAGACGATCTTCGTGTGAGAAGACTGCGACCGTCTGGAGGGACAGTTCGTGTGCGGTACGGAAGATACGGATGGGAATTTCACCACGGTTGGCGACCAGAATCTTTTTGAAGTGCATAATAGTCGAGTTGGCCCGCAGACGACGGTGGACTGAGTCCTGGTGGTGCTCATTGTGATCCTCGAGGATGTCGGACTCATCAACCGCCTTATCCGTCTGGCGGAGCGGGGCAGCCATTGTGAATGTATGTGACGAGATGAGAGATCGGTTACAAGGGTTTGTTTACTTGAAAGGAGTGAATTAGGTGAGGTTCGACTCTAGAGCTTCCTCCGGAGGTCCGGTATGGAAAGCAGAGGCGGTGACTCACTATAAGAAGCTGGGGGAGCTCTCCGTCCAATTTGAGGCCGGTTTCGGCAGATCACTGCACAATCGCTCGCACTGTGCTTCAGTATAAGCAATGGAAGCTGTATAGAAATTGGATAGGATAGTATTTAAAGGGTGAAATAGAAAGACAAGGGGGGGAAGAAAAAGAGAGGACAAGAAGGTTGGGAGGTGGGAGGGGGGTTAGATAAAGAGGGGAATCAGAAGTGTGATCTACCAAGTCACAGGTACTTGCCGAGACGCGAGGATTGACTCCAGGAATGAGGTAACAAGTACATACAGGTTCACCGGTACACCGGGACCAATGCCTAGAAATTGGGAATGATCAAATCGAATAGGATAATAATAGGATAATAAGAATAGGATAACCCAATAATCGAATATATCCAATTCGAGAAATGTAATTTGCTAAAAGCATAACGAAATCTATGCGGGGCTTACCATCTATACCCATAAAGGAACTATACTAACCCTAGCTACAACCAATGTTCCTATTATTCCCATTCCCATTCCCAACTTACCCCGGACGATTCCTCTCGCACGATAACTCATAATCCTCGCACGATAACTTCGGGTAGTTTAGGTAACTTATTCCGCCAATCTACCTCGGGCCATCGGGATCAACGTCAGCATCTAGGGAACAACACGAAGCCCTTGATCCTTCAACTCCCAACTGTACGGATATTCGCGGGAACTAGACGAGGGAAAAGGCCGGAGGAGACTCGGAGAACTCTCGACAAACACATGTGCAGAGCGAGAAGTGGATCGGGCCAATTCGATGGACACAGGGTCCCCTCTCTGTCTCCTAGGGGAGAAGTGGCCGAGTCGATATCGACATAATTTCACCACCGACCTCCATGTATGAAGGTTAGATAGGAGGGGTCGATCTGACTCATGTCCAGACATTTCCAAGGTTCCAAGGTTCCAGGGTTCCATTGAAAAGATTGGAAATCTCCAACCGGTCATGCGTCCACTAAAACGATTTTAAAAAGGATTGGCGGGCCGATAGGGGATCCTATGAATCCTATGACGATATTTGATTTGTGTCGGTACGACCGGTACGGCTCCTCTCCACTATTAAGCGCCCCTCCTCACCTCATCCCGAATTCAATCTCATAACCATTCCACTTGGCACTCCCGGGGGATCTCCCGCTTGTACGGAGTATGACAGGTACGACTATCTGGTGGATCTTACGCAAGAACGCGACATGCCAACGCCATTGGTATTCCCACCGTGTCAAGGGTGCTCTGAACACCCCGAGCTCTTCCATTGTTGGCACCATAAGCCAGGAGAAATGCAAACCTGATCTACCTTGGTCTACCTTATTCTTGCAGTGCCCAGAGAAACTTGCAACACCCTTGCTCTTCTCTTCTCTTGGCTGATAAGCTTCCGCTTTAGAGATGAGAGCTGGGCAATCACCGCTGGCAGCGCTTATCTATCAGCATCCAACCTGGAATTTCCCCCGAGCCATTGGCGTCAACCCCTTCACACTTCTGCATGGACTCGCAATCCCGACGGAAACCCACCGCCCGAGGCACTCCTCTACCACCAGCCCCCACCTTGGAAGTTTGTCCAAGCCGTTGGCATGGATTCATCAGGATCAACCCTGGTCTGTTCTGGTTACACTTCTGCATGATATCGCATCCCCGACGGAGGGATCTACTCCCTTCTTTCCACCAGTAACCCTTGCTGGCTGTAAGATTCTTCCCCGCGTTAGGTGCCAAGTCTCCGCCGGTGGAATTGAGCGTTTCCATCTGTCCGGGCCGAGGGGGAATTCGGCAGGCTGGGCTCGTCGGAACTGTGAAACCCTGTGTTTTACATTGTATACCTCAGTAGTTCCGTAGGTAACTCAAAGCCTAAAAAAAGAAAAGTACGGAGTGGATTATGCTTACTTGTTCGAGCCGACGTGTAAGAAGAGTGGGGACGGTACAGCATCTCGTACAACCGTCCAATACTAAGCTACCACCGCACCCCATGGGCAAAGCTAAAAGCTGACAAGGCAGTGAGTGATCTGCAGGAAGACTCACCTTCAATCCCATGGGGGGACATATGTAGTTGCAGATTATTTGCCATCGTGTCTTGGCGATGCTACATTCCTCACCGAAGACCCTGAAGCTCGAATGGATCCGCCTGGGCAGACGCTTGGCAGGCTCGGGACTGTGGGGGAAAGGGAATAACTGACGGTACTGCGGTGAGAATAAAATAACGAGGGAAATCGCAATGCTATTACTGAATATCGGGCCATGGCCCAGACTGTTAAAAGCATGGGAAAAACGGAAGCTTGTCAAATACATGCGGCGAAGAAAAAAAAATCAAAAAGCAAGATTAATGGGCTGTCATGAGTTCCTCCTATGGCACGCTCTTGGCGTAACCATCCCCCATATGAAATCGTTCCTTTTGCAACCTCAAAGCATCACATCCGCTGTATGTTACAAATGCAAGAGAAACGGAGAATCAAAAGCAAAAACGGTGCACGGTTCTAGAATCCACGATACCCAGTTGCCTGGGGTGTGAGACCGGCGCCGTTTGATTGAGGGCCCTGTGTCAGCATGAGCCGCGAGCCCTGCAAGATGGGAGTGTTGTCCTCCTCTGTTCGAGTTGTCTTCTCCCGGTTCTTGCGCTCCTCGTTGTCCTTCTTGAGCATCTCGATCGATCGGGTCTGTTCGCAGAGGAAGTTGATCATGAAGGGCATTGTGAAGTCATGAAGACCCTTGCGCCATGAGATCTCCATGATGACATCGGGGCGGATGAGGTCGTAGCAGGCATAAAGCATGCCAACGTAGCATTCGCGGCTCCCAATATCGACGAACTAGTTAAAATTAGTAAAGTCTCGAGCAATGACAGACATAGCAAACTTACGTAGCGGAGAAGATCCTCTACAACATCGGCCTTAGCAGAGATAGCGGCGGTCTCAATAGCATCTTTGTAGAGCTTGTCCTGCTTGGAGAGCGCGATCGACTTCTCCCAGCGCTTGTTGTTGCGGTAAATGTTGGCCGCAATCTGGCGGAAGAAAATGAGGTCATGCTTCTCCAGGCGCTGGGCGAGAGCCACAGCATCAAAGTTGTCATTCTGGTCAACAGAGTCCTTGAGCAGCTTGTGGTCCTCCTCTTCAATTAGAAGCTCGTTAATGGCGTCGTTGACAGCCCGCTTGTTCTGGGACTGAACATTGAGCAGGAAAGGCTTGATCAGAGGAATATTGTCAGAGCTCTGGAAGATACGAACAACACGGTTAACGTCGATACGAGCGGTCAGAACCTGAAGCAAGTCAGTGAGCAGAAGGGGCTGCTCCTGAAGGTAGAAGTTCAGCGCGCGGTAGTAGATCTCCAGGTTGGCAACCTTGACAACAATGTCCTTGAACGAGTGGTGTTCCCAGGCATCGGCTGCACGCTCCATCATGGCGAGAGCGGCATTGTCCCACTCATCGTAGTGACAATACAAGAACACCAGCTCCGGCCAGAGATTGGCTTCCTCGGAGGCCCGGATCATCTTGGGGATGTTGATGCGAGACCAGAAGAGCTTCAGGTGCTCCATGACACGGTCTGGGTGGTACTTGGACAAAGCAATGCCAAGCTCGGTGAACATACCCATGTGGGCCCGCTCGAGACCAAGACCTGCCTCCAAGACAGCGATCAGTTCGTCGAAGTATCCATTGCGTTCGTACTGGCGAACAAGGCTCTGCAGCTCTTCGGCGTGAACAATCAGGTTGAGACCGCAAATCTGGGCAAGACGGAATTCCTTCTTCTCGACACAGGCCTCGTTGACCTGCTTCCAGACCTTGACGCTGTTGGCCTTGCGGGCACACTCCACTGCAGCTTGATAGTCCTCCAGGTGAACCAAGGTAGTCGCCAACTTAGCCCAGTTAGAGATGTTGGTGAAGAAAATCTTAGCAGCATGGTGGAAGCCTTCAGCATAAGCCTTGTCACCGGAGGCTTCAATATCCGCTACATTGGTAGTGCGAAGGAAGTCCTCGAGCTCAGCAAGCTGGTCCAAACGGGCAAAGCAGAAAGCAAGAGCAGTATCAATAGCCGGTTCACGCAGGGTCTTGCGCGCCATGCGAAGGAACTTGACGAGATCCTCGTCCTTGCCTGCATGGGTTGCAATCTCAATCACCTCGTGGTAATTAGACGGGTCCTCGGCACGGATGTAGGACTCAATTGAGTCAGTCACACGAAGACCATCAAGTTGAGCCTTGGCAACCTTGCTCCAAACGTCGGACAGCTCGACACGCTCAGCGAACTCTTGAGCTCGGTCGATGCTGACAATGTTCTCCACAAGCACGTTGACGGCGGCCAGGTAGTTATTGACCTTCTTGTAGATTTCAAAGGCTTCCTCGTACAGACCAACGCTGGTACACATCTCAGCAATCTCATCGGCGGAGAACTCGTTGAGCTTGTGAATGTAGTCCATCAGACGACCCTTGTCAGCCTTGGCAGCAGTCAACATCAAGAGGTTCTGCAAGCTGGTGTTATCACTGAAAGGAGAGGGCTCCAGAATGATCTTTTCTAGCAGCTCAATCAGCTCGCCAGGCAGGTCCGCATCAAGGAACGACTTGACGGCGACAGATACCTTCTCGGGTTCGGTAGACTCGGGGACCGCGGTGGCGATGACCTGGTCTACAAGAGAACGCCGGCCTTCATTGTTCTCGCTGAGGACAAAGGCCCAGATCTCAGGATCGGCACGCTCAACGAGGTAACGAGCTTGGGCACGGAACATGGAGTTCTCATTGGTGATGCTAATGAGCTCCAGGTCGTTCTGGCCCTTGCTGTAGGCAATGTACGCCAAGTTGGGATCACGTTTCTCGCAGTACTTTCCGACAATGAGAGTGTCGTACTGGTCGTTCTCCTTGAGGAACTTCTCTGGGTCGTTATTGCTGTCAATGTAGATCTTCGCGAGAGCGTTGTAGACAGCTTGCTGCTGGTTTCCAGTGGCCAGAGTGGCCTCGAGGAAAGGCAGGAGCAACTTGAGGCGGTTTCGGCTCTCGACCTCAGTAACGAGTTCATCGATAGGGATAACGGCTGGGTCAACAGTCGAAAGCAGATTCTTGATGATGCTCTCCTCACAGTCAACGTCGAGCAAGCCACCAACAACAGCAGGGGCGCGACCAGGGTTGACGCGCTGGACATAGACCTCGATCGACTTGAACTGTTGATTCTGGTAGAGGTACAGGACCAGATCGTGAATAAAGTTGAAACGATCACAAACGATGATCAGGGGGAGCTGCTCTGTCAGGCGGGCTTCCTTTAGGAAGTTCTTCACCTTCTCGGGGTTGTAGTAGTTACTCTCACGGCAAATACGCTCAACCTCAGTGACCTGGTTCATGGCGGTGGCAGCCTCGATGTACTTGAAGTGCACTTCAGGGTCCTCGCTGAGGTTGACAATGCTTCCTAAGTAGTAGTAAAGACCCTCGGCAGTGCGGTATTTCTCGAAAAGATCGATCAGACGGTTAGAACCGAGAAGATCGGAGAACTTGGTCGCAATCTGAACCACAGACTGCAGGTTCTGGCGAATGTTCGATTCCAGCATGGTGTCCATGCAGTCGAGAGTCTGCTCCACAGACAAACGACCGAAGTAGCTCATTAGCCACTCGGGGCTCAGCTTGTCGGTGCGAACAATGTTGCGCTTGATGACAGCTGGATCATCCGAGTTCTCCAAAGCACGCTGGATGAGACCGGCATTCTCACAAAGCTGGGCGATACGCGGACGGTCGAAGTGTGTGAAAATCTCGTTCCCGAGGATGGCGTCTGCGACCTGGGGGGCGTTGACGAGGTTCATCTCCAGAAGACGAGTCTGCAGGTGGCCATGCTCAGGCTTGTTGTCCTTAAGAGCGTCCAGGAGGAACGAGGTGGCCTGCTGGATCATGTTCTGTGACAGGAACACGTCGACAACGCGGTCAAGGTCCACCAATGCACCGTTTTCTTCATTGGCGAGTTGAGTAGCAAACTCGGCGCCCTTCTCGGGGTTTACACGAACAATGTGCTGAAGCAGCTGGGTGTAGTCTGGCTGGTATCCAACTTGCTTGGAGTATGCAAGAATCTTGTCGAACTGACCAGTCTCCGCGAATCCAGCAACAACCTTGTTAGGAACATTAGCTTCGAGATAAACAGTCAGAGCAAGAGACATGTCGTATGGCCGAATAATGTCACCGAGCTCCTCTGAGCTCTCCAGCTTCTTCTCCTGCATCCATTTCTCAAGCAGGTGCTTACGGTTCTGCTGCAAGACGGGTCGGACAAGCTCAACACTTTCGTACTTGTTAAGCGAACCCTTGTCTAG